GCTAGAGCACCTTCCACTTCAACGGCTGATAAGATAAAGCACTATTGTTCTCGCTCAGTTGAGTTCACTTCACCTACAAAACAGGATTCCCATTGTCTACGCGTTCATTGTTCACTGTCAATCAGAACAAAACCAAGAGGGATTTAGAAACCTATAACAATCCATGAATTTCGATTTGGAAACACCTTTTTTCACTTTTTTCTTATTAGTTGATTAAAAAATTATAGTGGATAACTAAAAAATTAAAAAAATCCATCAGTTGATACCAAAAAAAACGAGATGCACGGAAAGGGAAATAACACGCGCGCGAAAGCGACGTGAAAAGCGGAATAGAGTGGGGGATTATGTAAGTGGGTGGAGGGAACTTAATTAGGAAATTGGCACGTGATTTGAATGTCATGTGATTAGGGCATCAAACAATATCAGGTGATGTAACGTATATTCACGTGATATATTGGGCTATAACACAAAAGTCATGGAAACAACCTATAAGTAAGCTATAAACTCAGTTAAAACTGGAGAAAACACTAGTAAAGTGATCACTTTCCATAGTAATACTATATTATACCCCTTATTTCCTCTAGAATACTCTATGACAATCCTTCAAACCTTCTGGAATATTCTAGATACTCCGAATTACATAACTCGGAAATTCGCCGTTGATATTTGTATTTGTATAAACTTGATTTATTTCTCATCATCATCATCAAATCACAAAAGTAAAGTTACTCTAAGACACAATATAAAACTTAACTATATTCATAATGTCTGACGACTTTGAAGCTCCAGATCCAAATATCAAATCATTACTTACTCATGATACTTTAAAATGGATATTTGTTGGTGGTAAAGGTGGTGTTGGTAAAACAACTTCATCATCATCAATTTCAATTCAATTAGCTCTTAATAATCCTCAAAAACAATATCTTTTAATATCAACTGATCCTGCTCATAATTTAAGTGATGCTTTTGGTGAAAAATTTGGTAAAGATGCTAGAAAAGTTACTGGTTTAGATAATTTATCATGTATGGAAATTGATCCATCATCAACAATTCAAGATTTAAGTACAAATTTTGAATCTACAAATAATAATGATCCTTTAAAAAATATGATGGGTGATATAACAAGTTCAATCCCAGGTATTGATGAAGCTTTATCATTTATGGAAGTTTTAAAACATATTAAAAATCAATCAAATGATGAAAATAATGAAATTAAATATGATACAATTATTTTCGATACTGCACCAACTGGTCATACTTTAAGATTTTTACAATTACCACAAACTTTTTCAAAATTATTGAGTAAATTTGATGAAATGTCTGGTAGATTTGGTGGATTATTAAATAATTTAGGTGGTCCAAGTGCTAATGAATTAAATACTAAAATGACTGAATTAAAAGAATTAACTAAATTAATCAATGAACAATTCACAGATCCTGATATTACTACTTTTGTCGTTGTTTGTATTGCTGAATTCTTATCATTATATGAATCTGAACGTTTAATTCAAGAATTAGATAGTTATGGAATTGATTCAAGTACTATAGTGGTTAATCAATTATTATTTACTCAAGATGATGATCCATGTAAAAGATGTCAATCAAGATCCAAGATGCAAACTAAATATTTGAATGAAATGAATGAACTTTATGAAGATTTCCATCTTGTTAAAGTTCCTTTAGTTAATACTGAAGTTAGAGGTTTAGAAAAATTAAAGAAATTTTCTAAATTTTTAGTTGAACCTTATGTTCCTGGTTCAAGTGTTGATCTAGAATAGAGTTATTTACAAACTTATGCATTGTATAAAAAAAATTACAACATCCTATTATTTTATTATTTTCAAATCAATGTAGCCTATTTAACAAACATTTTCAACTTCAACATCTTTACCATCATTATCACCTAAATCTGTTCTTAATCTTCTATTAAACAATTCAAACAAGAATCCAAAACATGCAGATGTAATTGCACTATCATATCTTCCTTTACTTGATTCATCTCTAACAAACGCATGTTGAGCATCATTCAATTCCATAAATGTAAAATTTGCACCATTTGATCTTAAAGTTGATCTAATTAAATCACGACCTTCTGGTGGCACATGATTATCTAAAGTTCCAAAAATTAAAACTAATTCTAAATCTTTTCTTTTAAATTCTGTTGATCTTTTTAATGAATCATCATTTTGTCCCTTTCCAAGTGCATGAATATGAATATCAGTTGGGAAAAATCCAACAACTGCACTAATTCTTTTATCTAAAGCACCTCTAAATGCTAAATGACCACCAAGACACATACCAGTAGCACCAACTTTCCCAGAATAAGTATCAAGAGATTCTAAATAATCAATTGATAATTTATTATCTTCATCATAAGATTCTAATGGTTTTTCAGCTTTATATTTATTACCTTTATCTGTACCTTCAACATCATAAGCTAAAGGTTCTGGTCCTTCAAAATTATGATAAATTGATGGTGCAATTACTATATAACCTTCACTTGCAATTTTTTTTGCAAATCTTGCAACTGGTCCTGTAACTTGATAAATTTCTGAATATACTAAAACCCCTGGAAATTTCGCTTTTGGATAATTTGGAATTTTTGGATGGTATGTATAAAGACGTAAAGTTGTTCCATAAGAGGTTTTAACATCATGGTATGATTCTGTGATAAGCATTTTGTAGATGATTAGTCTTCAATTGAGTTGTATTGAGTACAATTGATTTTATGAAAATGGTCTGCTTTTTTTCCCACCTTTATATAATAGATTCTTCGGAGATCGTTTGAGTTTCTACAAAACTTTGTTAAGCACAACATTCACCATATAAAATCATCATTGATATATTAAAATTATTAAACATTATAAATGAATGTGTGTGTCCTTTATATTAATCGTCATTATCATAGTCAGTCTATCCCCAGACCAATTTTTTGAATCTATACTCCAAATTCTCAATTACATTCACGGTTTTACGTGCTTCATCTTCCCCAATTATATCAACATTTGATAATGTACTCGAATGACAGGTTTTCGAGATTAATTCAATATTATATTTGATTTTTTCATAATCTAACTCACTTGGAAATTTCATAACAAGGTAGTTCAGTTGTTCTTCCTGTTGATCATTCTCCGTGTTATCAGCTGTTGCTTCAAATTCCTTTTTGAAAATGAACTTTAGCCCAACGTTTCTCTTAGGATTCAATGATAATGAACTGTGAGTTGATGTTATAAATGCCCCATATTGTAACTCATTCAAGTCCTTGATCTTAATTTTTATAACTTTCTCAATGATTTCATCTTTCTCGTTATACTTGACAAAGTAAATTAACTTATTAGTCAAAATAACTGATATTGGATCTTTATCAAATGGTAGTAATTTGTTATACACTAATGGTGATTGAACATTTGACCACGATCCAACTAAGATTAAATCCTCATCAACTTCACCTTCAGATTCTGAACCACTTGAAGTTTGCTTGTTCTTAATAATTCCTAAACCTTCAACAATGATCTTTAATGTGGAGTTATTTTTGTTCAAGTTCTCATTGATTTCATTTGGATCTAAAACGTTCAACGTATTTTCAAATTCTTCAAAAACATCTTTATTTTTATGTCCTAGTAAATAATCAACAAAACATTGTTTGAAATAATCACTTATATAACCAGAATAATATCTTGACATTGTTAAGAAAGCATCATTCAACAAACCTTTATAATTTCTCTTTGCAGTTCTTGTATAATCACCTTTTAATGCATTCGTTGATGCATATTGTCTTGAAATATAGTCACCATTATCTGCCCAAAGATTATTGAAATCTTTTTGAAATTTACTGAAATCCTTAATTGATGAACCATGTGTAGGTAATATTTTATCAACAAGGACAACCTCTGAAATGAATTTTGATACAATGTTTGTTCTATCCAAACAGTCAATACAATTTATTCTAAGGACACCAAGTTGATCTTCACCGTTGACATTATCTGTCCATCTATAGATATCTAATTTTTGTCCAACTGTTAATTCAACTTCTGTATTATCAACTGGGTAATCTAACAATTGAGAAACATTATCAAATTTCATTTTTTTACAGATTTCATGGAAATCAAACCATGAAAATTCGATATTATTCTTGTGGGCTAATTCTTCATAAGCATTCCCCACTTGATTCTCCTTTGGGGTTCTTTCAACAAGTGATATACATGTAACCTGTCCATGCTTTTCTAACAAATTTTCAAAATGTTCTTTGAACGGTTTTTGACATTTCTCAATGCTTCTCGTTAACGTTGGTATAGGTTTCAAGAAAGCTGGGTTTTGTTGGAAGAATAATGGAATTGAACCTCTTAAAATATCAAATTTGGTGAACAATGAGTTATTATCTAGTTCAGTTATAAATATTTGTGACGTTTTGACAAAGTTTGCGACATTGGATTGATCATCTATACCTCTTCTTAAGTATCTTGAACCTGCCCTTTTGGTACTCCTTTTACTCAACAACAACAATTTACCTTGATTTGCTTCTGATGTATCTGAAGTCCCTAAATCAACATCAATTCCACCAATAAACCCTTGAATCAATGGTAAAGATAAGCCTGAAGTTCTAAACCTTTTAGAAATGATGTAATTGAACCAATAAGATCCAGTGCTTTGATTTGGATCTGCTTGTAATTTGTCATCTTTATATATAATGTCCTTTGTTACATCAATCTCTCTTGAGTAAAAAAAATCTTTCCTGCTAAAAAACTTTTCTAATTGTTTTTCAAATTTAAACAGAAGACTATTAGATATTGAATATTGTGTATTTGTACTTTCATCTAGTTGTTGTTGTTTGAACTTATCAAATAATCTTGTGAAATTGTTCTTTGGTAATTGTGTGTGTTGGTCTTTAGGAACGCCCCTAATGGTGATTGACCTTTTCAGCTTGATTGAATTGATTTCTTTCCCATCTAACTGTTCAGGCTCATTGTCTTCTTCATTATCTATAGTTAACATATTCACCTTCTTGTTAGAAACAGAGAGTGATGGGTTTGATTTGATATCATTTACATAAACACCCAATTTACTGAAAAACATATCTTTAGTTTGCAGTACTTTCTCAGTTACTAAATTACTAGCAGTTGATGTTGCTCTTTGTCTTCCTTGTAACCTCAATGTTTCTTCATTTGCATCTTGATCTTCTTCATTTGTACCAGTAGTTTCTTCAAATTTAAACAATCTTTTTGCTAAATCGTATTTCAAAGGTATCACTAAACATTTAGTTATATTCCATATTGTAACTTCATTATGCTCAAAAACAGGTGCTTGTGTGTGAATAACCACCAAATAACCTGGTCCCAATTCCACAAGTCCAATCAATCCAAGTGAATTCAATGTTGCTAAAGGTTCTCCTTGTGGTGTATAATCCTCTTTGAATTTTAAGTCTCTGAATCTCAAGAAATGAGACCTATTACTATTCTGTAATGATAAGCCTAAACCATCTTTATAAAGCTCAATAATCAAAAAATGATCATATTCTATTTGTGCAGAAGCCTGGTCAGATGAAACTATGGAGGAAGGTGTGTCAGCCATTTTTTGTGGCACAGCGCTTTCCTGATATATGTGTGAGTCTAGTGCAATTCTAGTATCCTGAGCCAGTGAATAGCTAAATGTTGAAAGAATGGATTCTCTTTATAGAGATTATATGAATTTCTTCTCTTAAAATACCTTGTTTGAGGCCTTAAAGTTCTAAGTATTTTTCTACTCGTTTAGCTTTTACTACTATATTCGATCTGTGCTGCTCGAACCGATCTTTTGTTTACTTTTCACAAGTATGGTAGAATGTTTTGAAATGAGTTTGAACTTTTCCAGCATATTTTCACCAAAAGTTCCATTAATTGAATTCCTATGAGGAATGGTAAATGTGCAGTGCTCAGGGGTGACGGTCAAGGGTCTTCGATGCAAGCTGTTTGTGTCTCAGGAGGTGCAATATTGTCATTATCACAAGAATCAACAACTGAGGAATGTCGATCATCAGCATGTTAAAAAATTTCAGAGGTCAAGAACAACACCTGCTTCATCAAATCCCCAAAAGAGGCAAGAGAGGGTAGAAGCTCAGAAAGGTTTTATATATGTCTATACCTTACAGCACTTAGCAACACCAAGACCCAAAAAGAAAGACTGGTTACAAGTGAATAAATTGGAGAAATCTGAAGCCAAAGAACGCAGTTGGAAAGTGTTCAATCCTAAAAAGCATATCTTGATAAAGATTGGATTGACAACTGGGACTGTTGATAAAAGGCTCAAACAATGGGAATCCAAATGCAACCACTCGTTAACATACCTAAATCCATACACAAACTATGAAACAACTAATTCGTTAAAAGCATTATTCAAAAACCTTAGAATCAAATCAACTGGTAGTCCATTAAGATTCTATAAAGAAGAGGGACACGGCTTTTATACAATCAAAAACCTTGCAAAGATTGAACGTGAAATACACAATAGACTATGGAAATCCTTTGGAAGGGGTGATATGGTTTGTCATGGTTGTTCACAAGATAAAGGTTATGGTATTCATATTGAATGGTTTATGTTGGAGAGAAAAAATTTGAAAAAATGTTTCGAACTGATAGATGATGTCTGTTCAGCTTATGGTCAATGAGATATGTGGTGTATTTGCCATCCTGGTTTATTATCCTTTGTCATCACTGTATTGTGCACGGGTATTTGAATCTGTACCCATGAGTTATAGTCTTTCGTTGTTAAGCTTAATTTCCAAATTTATACTAACATATCACGGTTATGAACTATACATTGGGTTATAATGTTATAATATGATCCATACAGTTCTTAATTGGAATTATATGATGCTCATAATGTAAAAATTAAAACTGGATAACTCAGTTTTATATATCATGTGGATACCTGTCTATAAATTGACGAGGTCGATTCCCTCATAGACACTACTTGTATATAAACTTGGATCTATTAAAACATATGCATAAAGTCATAAAATTAATCTATTTAAATACAATCTTAGTGAATAAACGGAATTTCAATACTTTGTTAAAAATTTCAACTAAAAGACACCTTTATCCTTCAAAAATGTTTTACCACCAACTTTCCACCATCTTGGTAAACAACTATGTTCTTCAATATCAATTGTACTTTCAGCATCGGCATCACATACACATCTTTTGGTTAATCTCAGGGCATTACTACTTGGACAATTTCCAAATGGTGCATGGAAATAACCAATATCTTCAAAATAATGAATTTCAGATTTATCCATCAATAAAGTAACACCAAGTGTATGAACAGGTGCATCACCCCATCTTTCATAATAAAACCCACCTTTTTTATCTAAATACTCAAAAAATTTCTGATATGGTTCACTTCTGAAGAAATCCATATTACCAATTTCAAAGTTACTCCAATAATGACATAAATTATAATCATTTGATAAATCTAATCTTATATGCATGTTTGACAGTGAGTCCATATCTGTTATGAAATCCATTGAATTATTTGGATGTAAATATTGTGGATTTTCCTCAATGAAATCCATAACTGTATCATATAAAGTTGGTATAGTTTCTTCATATTCATGAATTGAAATTATAAATCCATATTTCTTTTTGTTCAATCTCATAACTTCAAAAGGATCATAGTTAAAATCACAATAATATTCAACACTTGGTTCCACTCTAAAATACCATTCATATTTTTGTAATAATTTTTGTTTAAAGAAAAATCCTGAATTAAAACGACACATATTTCTATAACTTTTTGAATCACCATAAAGAACTTTATTTTCTGTCATTTCTTTGATACTTTGTTCAAACTCAGTTTCATTAATCCATGAAGGTCTATCCCAATCTTCACTGGGTATTAATCCATATTCAGTTGTACCAGATGCCATTAATGTAGTTGCTTCAATGAATTCTTCATCAAATGGAACATCATTCAAAAAAGTCCAAGGGTATCTATATTTTTTATTAAATCTATCTTCTAATGATCTCATTGATTGTAAAGCTTGATCTAATTCCCAATTTCGTACAAGCATAACGATAGTGGCATTTTCTTTACCAGGTGTAATTACATCTCTATTAGCATCCAGTAACAGTTTTTGAGAATAAGAATTTGTTGCAGGTTTTGCTCTAAATTTCAGTTCTGGATCATAATGGAACTGCTTTGTATCTTTGATTATTGACAAATAATTTGTATATAATTCTCTTTCATAGATAACACTGTTTAACTTTTCTTTAAAGAAACTTGTTGTCTGTAATAGTAACGCTAAAATACACGTTATAACAATCCAAACTTTTTGGAAAAGTCTCATCTTTCAACAATATGTGAGCTTCTTCTCTTTATATACAAGCTTAATTCACCTGATAGCAAGCCAACAACAATTTATATAATATCCTTGGGAAACGTAGCGCTGTGCTTGTTTTTGATCGTTGAGTTCAGGAACAACTTTTTTCTGAGATTATGCTGCGCTTAACAAGTAGAAAGCTGTGAAATAATACACTTTGAAAATAAAACTACAGAATATCTCATTATTTTATTAGACAATCGTCGTTTTCTATTGTATTAATGCTATTAAAGTGCTATGGATACCCCTTATTCCGTTCATGATCAATCTTCTCTTTTGTAGATTGGTAAACTGATACTCTCATTAGTCTTCACAAACATACCTTTAATTTGATTATTATATTTCAATAATCCACCAATTGGTTGAAATTTAGGATTCTTGAGAAATTCCACAACGGCAAAAATGTTTGTTATCAATTTATCAATATCCTCTGTATCGGTCCATCCAATTTTAATACTTATTGTAGTATCTTTATTAGGTATAAAACTTGTATTTTTACAGATTGATCTGATTTGATCTCTAACATATTTAGCATCACAAGTTTCAACACGGTCTTGTTTCTTGACTGGTTGTGCTGATGGATCAGGTTTAGACATTTGTAACATGTATGGAACTTTCTTGTGACCTTTGAAAAATTGTTCACCAAGAACAGATGGTAAAAGATGATGAATTCTATGATCACAAACAATCAAATCATATTCATGATATAATTTTTTCAATGATTTCTTTGATTTACTTATTATTCTCAGTTTCTTCAATGGCATTATTTCATTGAATAAATCTTCTGTTGGTGAATTTTTACATGTTAATGGTTCTCTATATGGAGTTGAAGGATCTTTTGTGACCAGTAAGATAGAATTATCTGTGGATTTGGATATTCTATTAGGAATGGGTCTAAGTCAATATGTTAGTATATATGTATAATATCCAATAAATCATTCGGATAAACTCACATTATTCTTGGAACATGGTCTGTTTGTTTAGCTAAGGGTTTATCTGTGTTGATGATCAAGTATATCGTTTGTTTCAAGTCCCCTTTCTCATTTCTTTCATGGGATATTAGCGACTTGAGTGCCTTTCTTGACTGGGTCTTGGTATCTTCTGATAAAACACTCATTTTTGTATGTTATCCAATCCCTTCAAACTAATTGTGTGTTCTTTTCTTTGTGAAGACAAAAAGATTTAAATTTTTCAAGTGATGAGCTGCTTATGTCATCCTGGTGTTTGTGCTTATGTAACACGATAACGGTTATAGCTTATTGCGAATAATTATGTCTCGCACGTTTTCAATAAGTTCCCGATAATCAGCATTCAAATGGTAATCTTCCCAAGGGTTTTTCTAATTCAACAATACAGTATGCTTGAAAATGTGAACCAATAAGCATCTCGAGTAGCTTTTCTCGAGGCAGCACTTTCCAATCTTTTAAAAGTATATAAATACCCATTCAAAGTGACATTAAAATACTCAAGATTAGATCCAGTCACCAAATCACACGGTGATAATCAAAAATATACCATTGTGGGACTAATTATGTTGCTTACATCTGTTACATCATTGTTTGCTTTGGCTTCTATTGTTCATGGTCAGGATCATTTGGAAATCGTAACAGCTCCTCAATTTTTAGAACAACCTTTATCAGGATTCCATCATGGTTCTCAATCTCCATTAGGTGTTTCAGAGCATTACAATTATTGTAATATGCCTAGAACAAATAAAGATACTTATACAAAAGTTAATTCAGATTATGAGTTGATCTATGTTGAATTGATTCATCGTCACCATAAAAGAACTGCATATGCATCTAATTTATTACCAGGAGATATTAAAGAAGATTATATGAAATATCCACAAATTACCACTGGTGGTAAAATAGATTCTTTCAATCATGGTAAAGATTTATATGGTGTTTATCATGATGTCCTGGGTTTTTTACCAGATGAATATGACTCCTCAAAAGTTGAATATAGAGTGACAAATAATAACATTACTACTCAAGTTTTCAATTCATTAATCAAAGGAATGTATCCAAGTTATAACATCACACCTGAATTAAGAGAAGATGATAATTTAGAACCAAATTTAAAATGTAAACAAGGTGATGATTTGAAAACTGCAATCAGATCTACTCCAACTTGGTACCAAGAAACAAATTTAACCATTTATAAAGAATTAGGTGATCAAGATGGTGTTAATGCAAAAGATCAACCAAGTTTCTTCAATTCAATTGATCATTTCTTTGACAACTTATCATCAAAAACATGTGCAGGTGATGCAATTAATGTTACAGAATCCCAATTCAATACAGTTATGAAACTAGGACATTGGGAATATGATTATACTTTTAGACAATCACCAAATGCAACTGCTTATGGTGCTTATAAATTTGGTAATTTCACATTAGAATTAGCATCTCACTTCCAAAGTGCAATTGATGGTGAATCACCAGTTATTTATAAACATAATATTGCACATGATGGTTCAATTTCTGCTTTGACTGCATTGATTAAAGATTTTACACAGATTAAACTTTTCCAATGGCCAGGTATGGGATCTGAATATGTTTTTGAATTATATAAGAAGAATGATGATCATTATTTAAGAATATTATATGCTGGAAGAGAATTAACTTTCACTTCAGTGGATGAGTTCTTTGGTTATTTGGACAATATTAAAGTATCTGATTATAGTACACAATGTTCTGCATGAGTTGAAATTTTGACATTTATATATAGAGCTAAATTACTGGTAAACAATTTGAAATTTCTGCAAACTAATACATAATATATCAAACTTCTGATTTGTAGAATATTTATATACCTTTCATCAATAAACACAATTTCATGAGTCGTTCATAATAATAGTATTGGTTCAATATTGGTTTACGTAAAGCGGTTTTCGCACTCCTTCAACACCTGTTAAAATCTCAAATTTAAACTAGTTTGATTTTGCTCCTTTTCCAATCAAAACATCAATTACAAATCGAGATATACGGTCAAGTTTTCCCATTTATACAATGTCTATTCCTTATGTCAACTCTCCAGATCAATTGAACAACTATTTGAAAAGTTCAGAAGCAGTTGTTGTATATTTCACCGCTGTTTGGTGTGGTCCATGTCAAGCAATTGCACCAGTTGTTGAACAATTATATTCAAATTTTACCAATGTGGAAATTTTAAAAGTTGATTTAGATTCAAATAAAATTTTAGCTTCACAAAAACAAATCACTGCTGTGCCTACTTTTATCTTTTATCATAAAAATAATGAAGTTAATAGAGTTCAAGGTGCAAATATTAAATCTATTAGTGATGGTATTGCCAAATTAAGTGAACTTGCACCAAATGGTAAAAGACGTGGTGCTTCTGATTCTAGTAACTTGGCTGAAAGAGAATTAGATCCTACTATTGTGAAATATGTTCCAAAGGGGTTCCAAACTTTAAATGAATCTGTATTTTTTGCAGATTTTGAATCTTTAAATACTATTCCATATAGACCAGAAGGTGATATTAAAAATGCAATTAGATCAAAACCAGACGTTTCAAGCGGTGGTACTGCAATCGTATCAGATGCAGATGAACAATTATTGTTACATATCCCATTAACAAACATTGGTAAAGTTTATTCAATATTGATCAAATCTAAAAAACCTGCAACTGATGGTGAAGTGGAAGTCGATGAAGTACAAAAACCAACTAAAGTTAAAGTTTGGAATAATAGAACAAGTATCTTGGGATTTGAAGATACTGATGGTACAACAACTCAACATGAAGAAGAATTAAGTGAAGAAAGTTGGGATGAAAATGGTTGGTATGAAGTTAAATTTAAATATGTTAGATTTCAAAAAGTTTCAAGTATTGATTTATTCTTTGAAGGTGAAGATGATGAAAAACATACATTAATTGATAAAATTGTTTTAATTGGTGTTGATGGTGAAAGTAAAAATCAAGGTAAACTTGAAAAATTAGAAGATTAGATTCTGATTGTCCACTTAACATGGCTAATGAATATACAAATTGAGTTTTAATACATTTCTTCTAATCTTTACATGTAACTACAAATATCATTTTTTTTGTTTTATAGTTGTAATATTATTACCTTATATAAAAAACATCGAAACAAACATAAGAAAAAATATGAAATGAATAGAGATTTATAACAATCTCTTTTTAATAATTGCCATTGAATGCAAATAAATCCTAATCTTTTTTGTGATAACCACACTTCAAACAGTTAAATTAAATCTCCCTTTTACCAATTAAATTTTTTTGTATTTGAAAACTTTAAATCTAAGCAAAGATTTCAGCAACATTTTCTGGTAATTCTTCAATTTGAGTAGAGTAGAATCTTTCAATTTCTCTCATCATACCAACATCTTTGTTAGTAACGAAATTGATAGCAACACCCTTTCTACCAAAACGACCACCTCTACCAATACGATGGATATAGTTTTCTTTGTTTGATGGTAAATCGTAGTTGATAACTAATGAAACTTGTTGGACATCAATACCACGAGCTAACAAATCAGTAGAGATCAAAATTCTTGAAGAACCAGTTCTGAATTCATTCATAATGGTATCTCTTTCTTGTTGTGATAATTCAGAGTGGATAGCTGAAACAGTGAATTTGTTTTCAGTTAATTTTTCAGTTAAAAATTCAACTTTTCTTCTAGTGTTACAGAAGATAACAGCTTGAGTAACAGCAATAGATTCATATAAATCAAACAAACAATCTAATTTGTAATCTTCTTCTTCTAAGTTAATGAAGAATTGTTTAATACCTTCTAAAGTTAATTCATCTTTTTTAACCAAGATTCTAACTGGGTTTCTCATGAATTTAGTGGTAACTTCTAAAACATCTTGTGGCATAGTAGCTGATAATAAAACAACTTGAGTAGTTTCTGGTAATAAACGGAAAATGTTGTAAATTTGTTCTTTGAAACCTGATGATAACATTTCATCAGCTTCATCTAAAATGAACATTTTAACTTTATCAGTTTTGAAGAAACGTCTGTCAATCATATCGAAAACACGACCTGGAGTACCAACAACAATTTGGGCACCAGCTCTTAAAGCATCAATATCATCTTTGGTTGAAGTACCACCAATAGAAGCATGAACGGTAACGTTTAAATGTAAACCAATAGCTAAAACAACTTTTTGAATTTGTAAAGCTAATTCACGAGTTGGAGCTAAGATTAAAGCTTGAGTGGATTTTTCATTTTCATCAATTCTTTGTAAAGCAGAAATGGTGAAAGTAGCAGTTTTACCAGTACCTGATTGAGCTTGAGCTAAAACATCACGAGCTTCAGTGATTGGTAAAATAGCACGTTGTTGAATTGAAGATGGGTTTTCGTAACCGTAAGCATAGATACCTGACAATAATAAGTTAGTAATAGATCAATTGAAATTGATGTTGATGTTTCCAATTGTTGAGATCATTTTTATATAGCAAACACTTCACCAAAAAAAAAATTTATAAGGGAGAATGCAACAATAAATTTTGGAAAATCTCATACTGAACCATTTTGAATAATCATAAAATTATTTAAACTAGTTTCAACGACCATTTGATTAGTGGTCTTTCAAACTCTTCCTATCATATATTTAAATTGATTAATCATCTTATCAAAATATCATCATGAAAACTTTTCTTCTCAATTTCTTTCAAAATCTCAACAATAAAACAAACAACTCAGGGTAAAAGATACACACCTCTTAAGATATCTTTCTTTAAGTTTAAGTCATCGAAAGAGTAGACGACGTTATCGTAGTTTGTTTCAATCAAACCAGAGTCGATTTCAGTAATACCGTCAGAAGCCATTTTGGTAATTGATAATTGAATCCAAAAAGTTCAAAAGTTGTATTGAAACGTTCAAATCGTTTTTTAAATTTTTTTTAAGGATCCAAAAAAAAAAAATTTTCACTGCGAATAAAAAAATTAAATGCGTAAAACAAATTCGCGTAATGATTTTCGCGAGTAGATTATGTAAAGTGTACAACTTGATTTATAGCTTCTTTAAAAGGTGATTTTGAAGGTATTTAGAGGGGTTTAATGGTGATTGTGTTGAATTATCGCCATTTATATGGGCTCTATTGTTATTCTTCTCTTTTTAAGCTAGTTCTCACCTTGTGCCGTTCTTAATTGAGCTGAAATTGACATATATACGAGCACGAGAATTTTAAGTCAGTGGATGAGAAAACCATTGTGAAAGAAGACGTTTTGGAGGAGCAAGCTTTGATCAATCATTTTTGATTCATGCTGGATTGTGCAGTGGATTTCAAGCTAGCCAGGCTTATCCCATGTTCTTTTAAAACTCTTTGAGAGAATTGGACAGTTCATATTTAAATCAGCTATACCCGCTTTTCATGGCAGATAAAACACGGAATTTTCATATACGTCTTGAGAACAATCTAATTAATTAAACAAATTATGGTATTAAGCAAGTATTATGTATAGCTATGTATGTATGAATTGAACTTCTATAGTAGTTATTTATCAATTAGTTAGCATATTATATTAATTTATGATTCATTTAGCAATTTTGATATCTTTAAGATCTTCTTGTAATTCAACATCTTCTTCTTCATCTAATTCCTCATCTCTTTCAATTTCTTCCAGGCCTGCTGGTTTTGGAATTGATTCATATTGTTCTGAAGAGAAATCTGGTTCTTCAATTGGATAATCTTCTTCAATAGTTTGAACATCAGTTGAACTTGGGACGATAGTTTCATTATCTTCTTCTTCTTCTTCTTCTGCATCATCCTTTGTGATGACACCAACTTCACGTTCTTCACTAATCAAAGCAACCTCAACTTTACGTCTTTGTAACTCTTTTTCATCCTCTTCTTCTCTCGCTAAACTTTCGGCACGTCTTTGAGCATCAGATGCTGCTTTTTCTTGATGTTGTTTGATACGTCTGAACAATGGTAAATGTGTCCAAGGATCATCAAATGAAAATTCATCACTAATTGTGAAAACACGTTCAGGTTCAGCTTGATCATTGTGTAATTCCCATGGGAAAATTGGTGGTGGTTTCCATTCTTCTGCTGGTTCTGGTTCTGGATGCTCATCATAAATTGGTGCACTTGCATCATAAGATTCATGCACTTCTCTTGATAAATCATCTTGATAATCTGATTCAACGTGCTGTTCTTCATGGTAATCTTGATTTTGTTGTTCATGGTGATGTTCTTGGTGATGTTCTTGGTATTCCTGATGGTAATGTTCTTGTGGTTTATCCCACTCATTAGAATAATGACCCAGATCTGGGAAATCGGCAGCTTGAGGTTTCCCATCTTGTGGAGGCTCGTCTCTTGCAGGGTTCCATTGATCATAATCAGGTTGAACGGTTTCAAAAATCTCAAAAGATTGGGGATCATTCAAAATTTGATTGGCTTCATTATATTGATTCCAATAATCTTGTTCATGATTAACTTCATCTTCTCTTGATTCTTCTGGCTCGTCATATTGTTCAACGTTACCTTCTTGGTAATCAATGATAACTGGTTCACCATTATCTTCATGATGCTCTTCATGATACTCTTGAGGAGGGAAATAAAACTTTGGTTTAATACCATGAATAACTTCTTTTATAGAACCATAACCGTAGAATTCACCATATTTATCCCACCAACGATATCTTTCACCATCTCTACCTGAGTCCCATGGTTTAGTAGCACCAATGAAATGAACCAATTTAATTTGATTTTGGAAAAATTGATATGCTGGTTGATATTGATATTGACCTGAAGGAGTAACATTATAAATAAATGGTAATTTAATCCAAGATCTTCTATTTGGAGAATCAACAATGAAATATTCATTCAATAAACCTTGATCTGCACCATCAAAAGAAGGAGATTTGGAAGAGTTATGGATTTTGAATAATAAATTTTGATAAGTTTGAATTGACGGTTTAATAAGAAACAACCCTGAATTGAAAATATCAGGCCAACCAGAATCTGGTGCAGCAACAATTTGATCTTCTGATAGTTGAGCGTAATCTTTGAATAAATGGGTCAAATCTTGTAGTGGTAATGTATCAGAATCCAAGTATAAAATTTGATCAAATTGAGTTAATTTGAAAATATTGATTTTGGAATAAGTTGGTGATAATTCAGGACGGTTAAGTAATTGTAACTCATATGAAGCAACTTTAGAGAAAATCAATTCAGTATCTAATATTTCATCATAAACTTGAGCTAATTGATTATACTCATATTGAGTCAACGAAGCGGCTAATAACACAACCAACTTAGTATTTGAGTCCAAACCTGATTGTCTGATTGATCTTCCTAGAACTAAGGCACCTGGCAAATAAGATGAAGTGAACAATAAAGTCACAATAGCATTAACCATATCAAATTACCTTATTCTAATTTCAAAAGTTAAAGGGAAGGGGATGTTGATTTCTAAATGAACAAAATTGAGCAAAAGGTATGCAATATGCAAGATGTTTTCAGTGAGTGACAGAATAAAGGAAGTTGAACGTAAAGTGACTGGATATAAGTTTCAGTGAGCGAATGTTTGATGTTTTGGTTTTGAAAAGGTTAACCAGTGATTTAAAAATAAGGATATGGCTGCTTTTAAAACTTGTTGAACAATAATAATAATAACCTTGTTGGGTGAAGGAAGACAAGCGCCAAAGCCAAGGGATGTATAGGATGAGTCCACAAAAGGCGGTGATGGTAAGATTATAGCTAGGCTATAGTGAGTTCAGCTCTCTGTGTATTTGCTTTAGAAGAGTTTCCCAGTGTATGGTTTAAGGGGTATCAAATATATTTCTCGAGTTTGTTTGTTGAAAGTTTATTGTGTAATAATAAACGGGGGTACTTACAATTATTGTGCAGATGGATGTCTGAATTAGGCAATTTTGTGGATATTTTGGGAAATTATAACCATAATAAATAACCTACAACTTACAAGAATGGAACCCATTGTGTTCCATTTATATGGTAGTCAATATAATCAGTTAATAGCTGTTTGTTGTTCAACATCTGATGCCATTATACTCTCGTTCATTGTTATGTGCTCTCCGGATTTTCATTTGGCTGCTTCGGATCTTCTCAAGCGAAGCTTAACTATGGTAAAACAGTGGACAGTGAAAAATCAAGTTACTAATACGAATGAATCCTACATCAAAATCGAGTCTATAGTTTACAAATTTGTATTCAAACCCAACTATATGATAAGAACACTATATGGATTTTATGATTAACACCCCAAGAACAACCAAAATAATTATTAATTCATGATATAAAATAAAATATAATTTTCAAATAACTTTTAGAAACTTCTTAACGGGAGTATGACCAGACGTTTTTTAATAAACCATCGTTTTGAGCTAATCTGTTTAATGAATCATCAGCTTCACCACGGGATCTAACGTAACCACTTAAAGCGTAAGTGGTGAAATCATTTGGAATAGCTCTACCTTCTTCATCAACGTTAGCAATGTTGATTTGGACAGAAGCATGATCTTTAGCTTTGATGATTCTGTTGGTAGCTGAACATTTACGTGGAACGTATAATTCGACCTAAATTCATTTGTTAGTAACTTGAACTTGTAAATTTTTTAGACTGGGATGGGCTTGAAATTTGTTGAATCCTTCCTTTAAAATCTCATTATTTATTGATCTACTTTGTAACATTCATCTTCCTTTATCTATCTTGTAATTCACTTCTCTTTGATTCATCTTCAATTACTGGTTCCCTATATATTTTGGACTTTAAAACTTCATTATTGACACAACAATTTAATTCTTTGTAAACGTCAACATAACTCAATATTGGACGACGCTATTACATTCCAAAATTCACCATCCCATCTTTTAATTCTCTCTCTAGTCACTTACAAGTTGACCTTTATCGTTTTCCATTTTGACTTGATTTGTATATGCTGTTATACCCTTTGTAAACGGTTCGTGTGAAAGCGTTCGATTAATTAAAATTTCAATCGCACTTTTTTGGAAGCGTTGAAGAAAAAAATGTTTGGGTGTTGCGTATACCGCCGCGAATTATCATTTTTAAAAGACCCTAACTGAAAGTCATGTGATAATTTGACTAGCAGGGCATGATGAATTGATTGATTTTCGCGGATTGAAGCCCACCAAAGCGGTTACAACTTACTACTAACAAGGGAACCATGAAAACATCAACATTTCAGAAAAGCCATGAGATATAAGCTCTATACAATCATTATATGCAATAAGTGATTCTTGTTAAAACCAAATCCATTTCGTGGAATTTGCGGCTTTCTATCCTGGTTTCATCGTCAACTAGAATATCATATACCAGTTTTAACTTTTGTGTCATATTAATCTACAGTCATCACATGTAATCTAAATGCTATGTATTAATCTTATTTATCAAATCTAATGTACAGAATAAATATCATGACCCGTTCTATCATATCCAAGTGCAAACCCTCTTTATTAATTATAGATCCCCTATATTAGCTAATTAACTCTAGTTAAAACAGCAACACTTTCAACATGATGAGTTTGAGGGAAGAAATCAAAACCTCTAACACTTTCAATTTTATATTCTGGTCCATTTTTAGTATTGTTCAAGAACCATTGAATATCTCTAGCTTGTGAATGAACATTACAACTGACATAAACAACTCTTGCTGGTTTGTAATCACTTAATTGATTTAAGAAAACTTCATCACAACCTTTTCTACTTGGATCAATAATAACCGATGTTAAATCACTTGGTGTATCAATTTTAGCAAAAATCTTTTCAGCTTTACCATCGATAAATTCTGCATTCTTAACACCATTTCTTTCTGCATTTTTTTGTGCAAATTTAACACTATCAGCACTAACATCAACACCAACAACTCTATCAACACCTTTAGAGGCTGTGATACTGAATAAACCAGAACCACAATAAGCATCAACTAAATATAAAGGTGTACCTTCAGGTCTTGGAATTTGTAAATTTGAACAAACAAATTCTGTAACTTTTGGTAAAATTGAATTGTTATTCTGGAAGAATTCACCTGCACTAAATTCAAATGTAAACCCATTAATATATTCAGTAACTATTTGTCTTGGTTTTGTAACACATGATTTGACTAAAGCTTCATCTTCATTGACAGAGATATCAACACTGACTTCATTAGTTTCTGGATCTCTTGAACCATCATGTTCATTTTGAAATTCAGTTTTGTTTGCAACTTCTTCATTTGGTGCAACTCTTGTATGTTCTCTTAATAACACAGTTGCACCTTTTTTATAATTATTCCATTCTTTATCAAATTTAGCTCTTTCATTCTTCATACCAATATTGATGATTTTAGTACCAATAATACATTCTTCGATATCCAATACACTTTTATCGCCACCTTCAGCTTGTCTCCATTCAGGTTTACCCTTTTTACCAAACCCGATTGGTGGTCTTTCAGCTAATGAACCTTTTCTAGGAACATCAAAATGTGGAGTTAATTTTGTTCTATAACCAAACATTAAAGGACTTCCAACTGTTTCACCAATTTCTGGAACTTTACCTTGTGCAACTAATTCTTGAGCAAGGTGTTCATATGCATTACGAACTGTACGTCTTTTGTATTCTAATTGTGTTTGATATGGTAATTCTTGATATTGACAACCTGAACATTTACCAAAATATTTACATTTAATTAATGAATTATCTCTTTCAAATGAAGGTGTAACAATTTTAAGTAAATCAGATTCAACATAATTTGGATGAGTTTTGAAAACTCTAAGATCAACAATGTCACCAGGTATAGCAAAAGGTATGATGACAATTTGTTTGTGTTTCTCATTAACTGGATGTGGAATCAATGCTAAACCATCACCATTTGATGATAATTTTAAAACTGGCACATTTTGGACATCTCTATGATAAGTTGGTGCTAATTCTGGTTCATTCAATAGTCTATTGATGTCATTTAAGATTTCATCTTCTCCAAGGTTATTTGCTTCTAAAATTTGTTTGATTTCAAACTGTAATATACCTAATGGAGCAGTTTGATCAATTTCTTTTTGTTTATATTTTCTCTTCTTCTTTTGTTTTTCGAATTTCTTAAATTGTTTCTTTGGTTGTTCAGATTGTTGTTGAGTTTCTTCACTATTATTTGTGTTTGGTTTTTCAACATTTTGCTTTTTAGCTAAAGGTTCTGTTGTAGTTGCTGCTGATCCATTTGGAGATCCAACAGGAGAGAGTTCTCTCTTTGAAGGCTCAACCATCATTCCCATGTATCTTCTTGTTATTGGTGATCTCACAACCCGTTGTAATGTATATGCAGAGTTTCTAGCAAACGCAAGTCTCATTCACTTCTGGATATCTTTAACTAAGTAAGATAAGCGTTGATATCAAAAAGGAAATCCCTGAGTTGTCTGAAGATAAGTTGATGTTTGTAAGGAATATTACGTTTGTTTATATGTCTTTTTTATGTACTGATAAATTTTTTTATTTTTCCTAGATAATCAGATCTGCCGGTTTTCTTATTGGGAGCTCATCGGTTCGGGCGCTCACAGATAAAGTCAAACGGTTTTAAAAAAGTTTCAAAACATCTACAATTGTGAGAGTTTATCATGCAATATCTTTCATTAAATAGCCATAAATCTTTGTAATTCACCAGCATTATTCATCAGGTTGGTACTCAATTGGCAAACTTGCCTTTTCAGCGTTCTTGAAAGTTGGAAGTGAAGCTGGTCTGTATCTAGGAGCCAATTGATCAACAATGGTGTTTGTAACTTCAGGTTTATCTGTAAACACACCTGGATGACCACTTTGTCTCTTTTGTCTCTTACGTTGTTGTTGATCAGTCTTACCTCTGAATCCCAATTGAGTGGATTTCTCATAATCTGTAAGGATAATGTTTGAGTAATTTGGTATATCAAATATTGAAGCTGTTTCATCGTGATTTGTTGCTAAAAATTCTGTATAGTCTTCTAATAACAAGTTAATGGTGGTTATTGGCAATGTTGATTTCAATTTGATAAATTCTATCACTTTAGCTAAGCCCCTGAAGTCACGATATTGTTTGTAGTATTTGTATGTAAATGACCAAAAAATAACTGATCCTGAAAGATCTTCAAGTCTTGAATAATAATTTAGTGCTTTTTTAACATTCAAATGATTTTTAATGAAATACAAGTTGATTTTTAATAATTCTATAATCACAATGGCAATTGTTTTAGAGTTCAACTTATCAACAAATCTTTGAATTTTGAAGTCAATTTGTCTCTGTTGACCCTTACGATAATAGCTATTCAACACATCTTCAAGTTGGCTAGCTGTTTTTTGATAATCTGAATTTGAACTTGAAATATACCTTATGTATTGTATAACAGGTTTAGTTTCATTTGGAACATATGAAATAACTGATAAATAAACGTCATGGATTTTATTCTCTTGTTGTTCATGTGCTCTTAAGAACAAAGCATAATTCAATCTTAGATCAATGAATTGAATGGGTAGAAAAACGTTAACACATTTAATGTAAATGTTATTGATCTCATCAAATTCTTCTGGATATTGATCTAAATACCAATTCAAATATTTTTTCCAGAAAACTGGTGAAAATGCTGTGGGTATTAATGATCTTTCAAATGTTGATATTATTTGGCTTTTGATCAAGTCTGTAGATGATTGCTGATGTTTTGATATCAGGAAATTCAAATAGATGTCCCAATTGTTTACTTCGTCAATTGACACTGCAATTAAAGTGAAATATGATTGTTTAATTTGTGATTCAAAGCTCCAAATTTCATAGACGAGCCCTTGCGTCACTTGATTGACTTTCATAAAGTACTCATTAACAGCGTTCAATTTTTCTTCTTGGTTTTCAATACCTTTAGCATGATTTAAATCTTCTCCTTCTAAATCAATCAAGGTGTCTATATCGATTGAACTTTTGACTTTTGTGAAATATTCAAAGTATCTGGTATATTGATGTAATGGTATTCTTATCAATTTTAGTAAGATCTTTACCAAGTCTTCCTTGGTACCATGGTTTTCTTGAAAATTAAGATATAAATCCCATACTGGACTTGATAAAAAGTTATGACCAACAAAAGAAACAGCCAATTTAAAGTTATCAATAATCTTGGTAGTATCATCACCTTTATTGGATATCAATAATGTCATATAATCTGTCCATAAATCAATTGAATGAGGAAAAGCGTCTATACTTTTGGATAATATTTCAAGTGAAGTTTCAACACCAGATATTTGGTACATCAATGCAACATATTTCTTCCAATAACCGAAAAGTAATGGAAATCTTTCTAATAGTTCATCAAATGTCTTTTCGATAGATTTCTTGATAATTTCAGTAGGTGATGGATATTTTGTAATTAATTGTTCTGTTAATTTGATCAAGTAGTCCCAACTTTGTAAATTATTAACATCAAGATTCTAAAAAAATAAAGTTAGTAATTATCACACTTATATATATATATATATATATATCAAATTCACATACAACAAGGTCTCTAGCAGCTTTAAAGTCAGGATTATCATTCAAAAAGGCTGGATCATATTGTTCGTTAGTGTCCCTCTGTACTTTTCCTGAGTTTTGGGTATCCAATGGTAACTTTAAGGTTGTGAAATCCTCAATTGGAGTATATTGAGAGCTCATTATCAGTCCAATGCTGTCTTTCACGTTTTAGGGACCGGTAATGCAATCACTGAACAATTTCCAAACAGCTTATTATTTACTTCATCTGTTCAAATTTCTATTCAATAAACAGAGCCCGCGAACGCGTTTTGCCTGCCAGAAGTATCACCACAGGGTAAACTTCGCGGGCTCTGCAACTTGATCAATTGATGGCTGAATTTTGGCGCTTAAATCACACTTGCAAACGATTGTGCGTACAAGCAGCCAGGGCTACCAAAAAACAATTGAGATTGGAAAATATGACCAAGGTTGAGGGATTTAAAGTCGAGATTGAACTCAAGAAGGATGGCACTGTGAAAGGTGTGGTGGCCAGAGTTTCTGAAAAGGTTCTTACTTTAGACAATGGTGAGTATAAAAATCTACTGGTGGGAAGAATAATATATAGAATACAAACTGACTTTTCATTTTTAGCTGAATTTCAAGATGGATCACGAGTTGCACACTATTCTTTACCAGGAGCTGATATCAAAGATTTGAAAGTGATTGATATTCCAAAAGAACTACAAAAGAAATCCAGAAAAAAGAATAATAAAGAAAAGATTAATAAGTCTAATGGAAATACAAATTATAACAATAACAATGGATTTGATAGTGTTAATTCTACCCCTGTCCAACAACCTGCCTTACAGGATGATGCTATACTGTTCTATAGAAGCAGCACCCCAACAACTGCTGATACATCGTATCAATCAAAACCAAAGAAGAAGCTGTTGAAAAGAAGAGAAAATGTTTATAGTAATAATGACCAAGATATAACATGGGATGAAAACATTGCAGAAATTAAAAGTAATGACTTTGATTTTGGTGGAAGTACTGCTGGCTTTGATAAACATGCGGCTTTGGAAGAATTTGTTTCAAGGGATAACATTGATCCATCACAAAGATTAGCTGGTCATAATAAACTCAAGGCACCAATCAAGACCAAATATAATAACGATGAGAATGTCTTGGGAGGTATACAAACAGATAACTGGAATCATTCTAATGATTATGAAGATGTTGAAGTTAGAAAAACTAGAGTTGAAGCTACATCTGATAAATTAAACACATTGATTAATAAAGAAATTAATACAAAACCTATATATACAAGATCACCATCATTAGAATTCAGAGGAAATAAACTCGTGAATTCACAAGGTGAAACATTACCATTAGCATCACCAATTCAATTACTTGAAATTGAAAGATTAGCATCAGAATCATTTAAAATTACACCTGAGATAATTGCAGAAAATGCTTCGAGAGGTATAACAGGATTAGCAATCAAAATTTTAGGAGGTTCATCACGTATCTCAAACAAAAATCATAACCTCCCACCATTGGTTCTTATTCTGGCTGGTAACAATAGATCAGGGGCTAGAGCTTTAGCTGCAGGTCGTCAATTAACAAATCATGGTGTTCGTGTAATTGCATTTACCACTACAGATTATAACTCTAAAGATGATTTAGATGAAAACGTTGCACATCAATTAGAACTATATCAATTATCTGGTGGTAAATGTGCATCATCATTATCTGGACTGAAAAACATTATAAGTGATATTGATAGCCCAATTGAATTAATTATAGATGCCTTACAAGGTTATGATACAAACTTATCTGACTTGTGGGGTGAAGAATTAGAAGGTGTACAACACTTGATACATTGGGTTAAAGAGCAAGATATCAAGACATTATCCTTGGATATTCCATCAGGTATAGATTCAGGTTCAGGTCTGATTGGAGATGTTGACAAGATTGATTCTAAATGGGTTGTTAGTCTTGGTTTACCAGTAAATGGTGTCTTACATGCATATTCCAATGGGGCTGCCGAAAGAGGTGATTGGACCCATTATTTAATTGATATTGGATTACCAAGTAGTTTATTCAAGAAGGGTTCACTAAGGAAATTTGATCGTAATTGGTTCAGTGGTGAATGGTCTGTTTCCTTAGAAATCACAGATAAATGAGCCCATATCCCTTTATAAACATGTACTATATATATAAAAAAAAATCAGTTGCCACGAATCATTAATGACCTTAATATCTATCAAAATTGTAGAAATTTATTGTGCTCAAAATACTTCGTATAATTATATGCTCGCGAATCGAAATGTTTCTGGTTTGTCCACTGAGTTTTTTCCCAATTTGCCCTTTTCAAAAAAAAGAAGCCAAAAGAAGCCAACTTGTTTACCTGAAAACGCCCTTAAACAAACCCATTGAAATCTCAAATATACACGGGCCTTTAAGCTATCAAGTTCTCACAATCACACCACAGTTCTCAGAAACATCCGCCCACCAAAATTGAACCCGCTGTTTGCACAACTTGAAAGGATTTCTACACGTTATTTTTTTTTTGGTGTCAATAACAGATTCAGAAACGATAAGAATTCAAAGAAAAAAGCATCCTCACCGCGCGTGCTGCTCAATTTTGAACCTTTGAAAATATCATCAAACCAGCAAAAACAATCAGGTTGACCATCTACTATTCCTAGGTTGATCATCTAGTGCATTCATTCATTTGCTGAGGTCTCTTTCCACTAAAAGATATAAACTCATTTTCTGACAGGCATTCCCAGAGATTTTTAAAACTTTTGAGAAATATTTTGCCCCGGTCATTCCCAAAGTTTATTAAAGAATAAAAATACAATACAATCATTCCATAGTGAAAGAAGGGTCTATTAAACAAAGATTTCAGTTTAAAGTACACATATAATATTCCTAAACGTTTAATAATGGGTTGTTGTTGCAGTTGTCTTTCCGGTATGTATTTCTTATTGGTTTTACTTTGGGGGTGAAGGATTTTTCCCTGGCTCCCTAGATACTTTCAATTGCAAAAATACTAATATGATACAATTACAGGACGTGAAAATGGTGATGCTTACCAACCTTTATTAGCTGAAAATGAACGTGAAGCCATCTCAGCTTTGCTTGAATACCTTGAAAACGTATGTCAATTGTTCTGTTTTTTTTGATACCCTTCGGTGTTATACTATATGATTATGTGTGACTTCGATTATCAAAGATCTACAAGAAACACCATTCCATATATCTATATATACACAGGAGGTATCGAGATTATTAAATTGATGAATACTAACTTAACAAATATAGAGACAAGATGTTGATTTTTTCAGTCATGGACCATTAAGAGCGTTAAGTACACTAGTATACTCTGATAATATAGATTTACAAAGAAGTGCAGCTTTAGCATTTGCAGAAATAACTGAAAAAGATGTTAGACCTGTTGATAGAGAAGTTTTAGAACCAATATTAATTCTTTTACAAAGTTCAGATCCAGAAGTTCAAAGAGCGGCTTGTGCAGCTTTAGGAAACTTAGCTGTTAATAATGATAACAAAATTTTAATTGTTGATATGGGAGGTTTAGAACCTTTAATTCGTCAAATGTTGAGTACAAATATTGAAGTTCAATGTAATGCAGTTGGTTGTATAACAAATTTAGCAACTCAAGACGATAATAAAGCTAAAATTGCAAGATCTGGTGCCTTAGTTCCATTAACAAAATTGGCAAAATCAAAAGATCTGAGAGTTCAAAGAAATGCCACAGGTGCACTATTAAATATGACACATTCAAATGAAAATAGACAAGAATTAGTTAATGCAGGTGCTGTCCCAGTTTTAGTTTCTTTATTATTATCACAAGATGCTGATGTTCAATATTATTGTACTACTGCATTATCGAATATTGCAGTTGATGAATCAAATAGAAAAAAATTATCACAAACTGAACCAAGATTGGTTACTCAATTAGTTCAATTAATGGATTCAACAAGTCCGAGAGTTCAATGTCAAGCAACTTTAGCTTTAAGAAACTTAGCTTCTGATGCTGGTTATCAATTAGAAATTGTTAGAGCCGGTGGATTACCACATCTTGTTACATTATTACAATCCTCTCATCAACCATTAGTATTGGCTGCTGTTGCTTGTATTAGAAATATTTCAATTCATCCATTAAATGAAGGATTAATTATTGATGCTGGATTTTTGAAACCTTTAGTTTCTTTACTAGATTATAACGATTCAGAAGAAATTCAATGTCATGCAGTTTCAACTTTAAGAAATTTAGCTGCAAGCTCAGAAAGAAATAGATTAGCATTATTAGATGCCAATGCTGTATTGAAATGTAAAGAATTGGTCTTGAATACACCAGTTAGTGTACAAAGTGAAATATCTGCATGTTTTGCTATTTTGGCTTTAGCTGATGATTTAAAAATTAAATTACTGGAATTAGGTCTTGTTGAAGTTTTAATACCTTTAACATTTTCACAAAATGGTGAAGTTTGTGGTAATGCAGCTGCTGCTTTAGCTAATTTATGTTCAAGAATTAATGATTATAGACAAATTATTCAAAGTTGGGAAACTCCAGAAAATGGTATTTTAGGTTTTTTGATTAGATTTTTAAATTCTGAAAATCCAACATTTGAGCATATTGCCCTATGGACAATTTTACAATTATTAGAAAGTGGAAATAATGAAATTATTGAATTGATCAAGAATAACTCAGAATTAATTGATGTTATTAAGAAATTAGCTGATGCAAACTATTCTGCTGCTTCACAAAATAATAACAATAACTTTATGAATAGTCAAGATTATGATGATTCAAAGGTTGAATTATACAATTTAACTCAACAAATTTTACAATATGTCAATTAATTTAATTAAGAATTAATTTCACAAGAGAACATTTAGAACTTATTTTTTTTTTTCTTTAAACTTTGAAATATGTATTATTTTTGTGTTTTGTGCTGCTTTTTTTATTATAATTGAAATTAAGATATAGAGAATATGTCATTATTTTATACCAGAATCATCATTTCAATCTATCAATCCATTAATCATCCATTCATTAACTGTGCAATACAAGAGTCCTAGAAATATGGATATATGTCATCTATCTAGCAATAGGTTTTTATCCCAATTCATTATGTTGATCAAATCAAGTTTATCATAAACCAATTAATATTTCCGTTTTTGTTTTCTTCTTCATTTCAATTTTTATATACATGCGTATATTTTTTTTCTTAAAAGTCTTTGCATATATAACTATTTAATATAAAATAATGTCGTTAATTTATTTTAAAGCAATTTACAAATTAGTGAATTCAAGATAATTATGTAACTTTTTGGTAGATAGCTCTAATCTAAATTTGCGTTAGCTTATTATTGTCTCACCTAGCTTCAGTTACAACAACGAAAAATAGCATCTAACCGAGCCAAAGTCTAGAACTCGCAATATAAAATCTTTTATAGCACCTTAAACTGTTTAAATTTAATAATATTAAGTATCAGAGGTTTCTCATAACAAATTCAATTTCAATAAATATCATGTATGTGGGTATATATATGTAGTTCGGGCACGACTTTAAGTAATTAATTTGGTTTTAATATAAGTGAGGTTTACCAGTAGATTTTGAGCTTAAAACACATCATTATAAATATAAATTATTAAAAATATGACCCTAAAGCTAAAAAAGATGAAAAATATTCAATTTTTTTTAGTTTTTAATATTTTTCCTAAATTTTATATACTTTAATAATTTTAAATTTAGTTTCGAATTTCGAAAATAAAAATCATGAATTTTTAAAAGTGCTAAAATCGCAATTATTCTTCCACGGATCTATACATATAACTCTTAGAGCTACTATGAGCTGATAATATCACTATTTAATGGTTGTTTATGCTGATTAAATTCAATTTTAATCAAAAATGACGTAATTATTGACTAAGCAGAGGTGTAGAATATTAGAAATCAGCATGCTTCACAACTAACAAGTACTGGTTGTATAGTGTAGTGGTTATCACTTTCGGTTTTGATCCGGACAACCCCGGTTCGAATCCGGGTACGACCTTTATTTTTGATTTTTTGCTAAAATCGGGCGAAATTGTCTATTTTTTTTTAGCTCAAGCTTCTTTAACTTTACTTTCATGGATAGCAGCTGGTTAACTAACACCAGCAGCCCAATATATTCTATTTATATAGTTTTGAAGTGTCATTTTGTGGCTATTTTTGTTTGTTTAATTAATTAATTATTTATTCCATTATTTTCGTGAGTCTTACATAATCCGAATGCTTTTCAATATTAACGATCGTTGAAATAAAAAGCTCGACTTTAAAGTATCAACATGAAAGTAAACATTATCTTTATCTTTCAAATTTAATCACCAAGCTATTAGTTGAGGGTAAAGTCATCACTAAGCTAATAATTGTGCAATTAGGGATCTTAAAAAGTTGTTCACATTGACAATTATATCAAAATTATAATTAGACCTTCCAAATAGTTTACGCTTCACCTTAATACAATACAACTAGATAATTTAGAATTACATCATGTCACAAAATCCTCAAATCAAACAAGAAGCTGGAGCAGCTAATAGTACAAATCAAATACCAGCTAATAATATACGGCCAGGCGCCCAACAAGGAACAGCTACTCAATCTCACCCACAAGCTGCTCAACACATTGTACAACCACATCAACCACCTTCCCAAGCTCAAGCAGCTCAAGCAGCCCAAGCTCAATCACAAACGGCTCAAGCCCAAGCTCAAGCTCAACAACAAAGAAAAGCTAATCCACAATTTTCACCTGCCGATTTAAATAGAATTGTTTTGGAATATTTAAATAAGAAGGGTTACCATAAAACTGAAGCTTTGTTACGTGTTGAAAGTTCACATACACCAACACCATCATCACCAGCTCCACCTTCAGCGCCATCGAAAGCTGCTTCACCTGAAAAACCTCAACCAGCACATGAAAAATTTGACCCTGAACTTTATGAACGTGGTTATTCAATGCTAAGGACTTGGGTTGAAAGTTCACTTGATATTTATAGACCGGAACTTTATAGAGTTTTATATCCAATTTTTATTCATTGTTTCTTAGATCTTATAGAAAAGAATGCTAAAATTGAAGCAAGAAGATTTTTTGATAAATTTTCAGGTGATCATCAAATTTTACATGGTACTGAAATTAGTAAATTAGCAGGTATTGGTTCACCAGATCATTTAAAAGAAAATGAATTAGCAAAATCATTTAAAGATAATACTTATATTTTACATGTTTCAAGAACTTCATTAAACTTGCTTTTATATTTCTTACATGAAAATGAAGCTTTAGGTGGTTCATTAATGATTAATTTTATTAATAGATATGTTCAACCAAAAATCATAACAGGAAGAGTTGATACTGATATAGGTGAAGGTTCATTAGATGATGGGATTAAAGGTGTTGGAGCAACTGATGAATTGGATAAATTTAATAGTCAAGCTGTTAAATTAGGAAACCTACCGATGGATCCAGAATATACAAAAGAACTCGAAGTTGAATTGAAAAGAAGAGATGAAAAAGAAGGTAGAACAGAAGATACATTAGTTGAAGAATTCAATAAGATTAAAAAGGAAACTGATGATTCACCACCAAAAGAAACTTTACCATTACCTCAAAAAACTGCATTAGATTTGAAAAGAGAAATTTTAGCAGTTAGAGAATCAAGAGATAAATTTAAATTAGATTCAATTCAAGCAGCAGCTCCAAGTGTTTGTATGTACACTTTCCATAATACAAATAATGATTTAACAACTTTAGAATTTAATGATGATTCAACATTAGTTGCTGGTGGGTTCCAAGATAGTTATATTAAATTATGGTCATTAGATGGATCACCATTAAAATCAGTTTTAAGAAGTGATCAATCTGAAGAAAATACTAGAAAATTAATTGGTCATAGTGGTTCAATTTATGGTATTTCATTTAGTCCAGATAATCGATATTTATTATCATCATCAGAAGATAGAACAACAAAATTATGGTCATTAGATACTTATACCCCATTAGTTAATTATAAAGGTCATAATCATCCAGTTTGGGATGTTAAATTTTCACCATTAGGTCATTATTTTGCTACAGCTTCACATGATCAAACTGCAAGATTATGGAGTTGTGATCATATTTATCCCTTACGTATATTTGCAGGTCATTTAAATGATGTTGATACTGTGGAATTTCATCCAAATTCAACTTATGTCTTTACAGGTTCAAGTGATAAGACATGTAGAATGTGGGATATTTCTAAAGGTAATTCAGTTCGTATATTTAATGGTCATACAGGTCCAATTAATACAATGGCAGTTTCACCAGATGGTAGATGGTTAGCCAGTGCAGGTGAAGATTCTATTATTAATATTTGGGATATTGGATCAGGTAGAAGATTAAAATCCATGAGAGGTCATGGTAGAACTTCAATTTATTCATTAGCATTTTCTAAAGAAGGTTCAGTCTTAGTTAGTGGTGGTGCAGATAATTCAGTTAGAGTTTGGGATATTAAAAGAGGTACAAATGAAGCAGGACCAATTCCTGAACCTTTCCCATCTCAAACTGATGATTCAACAACTTCAATTAATGTTAATAGTAAAGAAAAAATTGAAGAAGCTAGACGTCGTAAAGAAATTATTCAAACTGCAGATCATTTAGCTTCATTTTTCACCAAAAGAACACCAGTTTATAAAGTTCATTTCACAAGAGGTAATTTAGTTTTAGCAGCTGGTGCTTTTAATCCTTAATCATGCTCGAAAGAAGAGTGAGTTAAAAAAATGTTATATGTATAAGTATGTAACAAAATAATCAAATGTGTATTTTTATATGATTCTAAGTTCTTTAATTAATCAATCATCCTTAATCTATATAACAGGTTTTGCAGGATCCCAAGGACCTTGTAATTCATTTTTATATTTTTGTAATTCAAGAAAATAAATTGGACAAATCATTATAACTAAAAAGTTTAAAAAAATCCAAATTAATAAAGTTGTAAACCCACTCATTTTATAAATGAACCAATAAACAATTAAACTTAAAATAATTAAAAGTAAATAATGAGCTTTTATATAAAATTTTCTTAACCAAATATCAAAAAATGGAAACATACCATGCATTTCAAAAGCAAATAATATAAAACAAAAAACTGAACCTGTAGTTTCTAATCTTGAAGCTAATACAATAGCATTTGCAATCAAGATATTCATTGATAATACGGGTTTAAATTTTTCATTAATATCAAAATGATAATCTGTAAATAATAAATTACAAATACATAACCAAATTGATAAAGTCCAAATAGAATCTGATGAAGTTGATTCACTTAAAGATTTTAAAACTGGTGATAAAGTTAAAATTGAAAAAAAAATCAATATACTTGATTTAATATAATTTAATTTGAATTCTAAATGTGGACTTAGGTTATTATAAATCATAAAACATATGATTGAGATTAATGTACCTAATGAAGTTGGTATTATTGGATTCCAATGATAATTATACATCCCAAAGAAAACAATATGAACAATAGAAAGACATGTCAAATGCATTGAAATTAATGAAAAATCTTGTACTAATTTCCAATAAGAATATTTTTGTACAGTGGAATTTCTTTTCAATTGTGATAAAAATGAAGAATCAGTATAATTATCTGGATATTGTTGTTTAATATATAATAATTTCCTCCATGGTTGAATTATTGTAGAATTTGTTGTGTATGAGTTTCTTCTGGGCACTTGGATGTTTATACTGTCATCGTCCGTTACCAGTATTGATGGATGAGCCATAGCATTGCAATGAACCTTTTCCTTATTTGCTGTTATTGAAATTGGTGAAGATGTTGTTTTGACACGAAAACATTTATTAAGCCCGCGAAATTTCTTAGAAGTATATAATCAAAACAAAAAGATCAAAAAAGACTTTAAAAGGGAAGTTTAGAAGGAAACTAGCCCAAAGGGGACCACACGATGAGTCAAGATAACCAGTCAGTGAGAAGGAGACCAAGCAAGGCCAGTACGAGTGCCAAAAGCGTGATTGCTTATGAACCATTTGAAGCATCAGAAAATCAAAACGAGAATCAAAGTCAAATTACTAGAGGAATACCCACAATCTCTATTGAACAAGATCAAGAACAAGAACAAGATTATGAAGAAGGTGAAGATGTTCAAAGACGGGATGAAGTTGACTATGATGATTATGGTGATGATGGATCTATAATATATCCACGAATTACTAAAGAAGGTACATATGAAGATAGTTATTATACAAATACTAGAACTAATACATTTGATCCAATAAATACAAATGATGATAGTTATCTTTATAGAGGAACATCAAGTCAAATTAATGATATGAGACTCAAGAAATCAAATACACAGACGGGGAATGGAGTTACACCTGATCGATTGAATGATAAAGTCCCATCAGCTAGACCTAATGTTGATTATCAAGATCGATTATGGACTCAAATTGATGTCTTGGATGATGTTAAAAAAATGAGTGAACAAACCTCAATTGATAATGATTCATTTTTCAATGCTAAACATGGTAAAGCATTGGATGAATTAAGATTAGCACAAATTGAATTATTATCCACTATAAGAAATTCAGAAAAATTAATTGATTTAAATATTGATCATCAAGATATTTGGAATTCACAAAATATTGATGGTATTAGAGATAAGATGTATAATAAGAAATATTTTGATACTATATCAACAAGTGTGGATAAAGTTAATAATTCATTAGATTCTGTTGGGAAAAGTATGAAGACATTGGATGAAATGTCTAAAGATATATGGAATAGTTGAATAATTATGTAAACTAATGAATGTTATGAACAAGTATAGATCTGTAATAGGAACTATTCTCCATGGGGAACTGACTTCCAACAATCTCAGGATAAGACGGATAATATACACTTTCAACGGGATTCAACTGACCGGTTACTGCTATCAAATTCCCACAGTTGACAAAGGTTTTGCAGTTGATGAGCCCGGTTATCCCATTGATCTCTGCCTAATCTCTACCTAAACTCTGCCTAAACTCCCGTCTGCCTAGCTCTGGTCTGTGTCCGCCTAACTGTGTTCCGTCTGGTGATGATTTCTTTGTTCCCTTTCTGACTAAGCGCCCAACGTTCTGGAAAAACCACCAGACGATTTTCTCCCTTTAAAATATAAAAACATGTCATTTTAACACCTTTCAAATTGCTTTCAATTATATTGACAATAGTCGTTTAACCAACTCAATTGCTCTAATATATCAATTAACAATGGCTTCAAACACTTTCTCTGACTTCAAATTAACTAGCGAATTGCCAGCTTACAAAGAATTGCAACAATTGTTCAATTCAACTGGTAAAGATTTAAAAATTATTGATGAATTTAAAGGTGATACTAAAAGATTTGAAAAATATTCAAAAGAATTTACAAATTATGATGGTTCTAAAATTTTATTTGATTTCTCCAAAAATATCTTCAATGATGAAATTTTTGGTAAATTAGTTGAATTAGCTAAACAAGCTGGTGTTGAAAAATTAAGAGATGATTTATTTAAAGGTGAACATATCAATTCTACTGAAGATCGTGCAGTTTTCCATGTTGCTTTAAGAAACAGAGCTAATAAACCATTATACGTTGATGGTGAAAACGTTGCTCCAGAAGTTGATGCTGTTTTACAACATATCAAAGAATTCTCAAATCAAGTTAGATCTGGTGAATGGAAAGGTTATACCGGTAAAAAAATCACTGATATTGTTAACATTGGTATTGGTGGTTCTGATTTAGGTCCAGTTATGGTTACTGAAGCTTTAAAACATTATGCTTCTCCAGATTTAAATGCTTATTTCGTTTCAAATATTGATGGTACTCATATTGCTGAAACTTTAAAAAGAGTTAATCCAGAAACTACTTTATTTTTAATTGCTTCAAAAACTTTCACTACTGCTGAAACTATCACTAATGCTAATTCTGCTAAATCTTGGTTCTTAGAACATACTAAAGATGAATCAGCTATTGCTAAACATTTTGTTGCCTTATCAACAAATGCTGAAGAAGTTGCTAAATTTGGTATTGATACTAAAAATATGTTTGGTTTTGAAAATTGGGTTGGTGGTCGTTATTCAGTTTGGTCAGCTATTGGTACTTCAGTTGCCTTATACATTGGTTATGATAATTTTGAAGCTTTCTTAAAAGGTGCTGAAGCTGTTGATCAACATTTTGTTGAAACTCCAATTGAAAATAACATTCCAATTATTGGTGGTTTATTATCTGTTTGGTATAATAACTTCTTTGATGCTCAAACTCATTTAGTTGCACCATTTGATCAATATTTACATAGATTCCCAGCTTATTTACAACAATTATCAATGGAATCTAATGGTAAATCAGTTACTAGAGGTAATGTTTTCACAAATTATTCAACTGGTTCAATCTTATTCGGTGAACCAGCTACTAATGCTCAACATTCATTCTTTCAATTGGTTCATCAAGGTACTAAAGTTATTCCAACTGATTTCATCTTGGCTGCTCAATCTCATAACCCAATCCAAGATAACTTACATCAACGTATGTTGGCTTCAAATTATTTTGCTCAAGCTGAAGCTTTATTGACTGGTAAAGATGAAGCTCAAGTTAAAGCTGAAGGTGCCACTGGTGGTTTAGTTCCTCATAAAGTCTTTTCAGGTAATAGACCAACAACTTCAATCTTGGCTCAAAAAATCACACCAGCTGCTCTTGGTTCATTAATTGCTTATTATGAACATTTAACTTTCACTGAAGGTGCTATCTGGAACATTAACTCATTTGATCAATGGGGTGTTGAATTAGGTAAAGTTTTAGCTAAAGTTATTGGTAAAGAATTAGATGATAAAACTCCAGTTGAAACTCATGATCAATCAACTAAAGGTTTAATCAACCAATTCAAAGAATGGTCTGCTTAAAGATTACCTAAACCTTCTTTATGATCCCTAACTAGTTTATATAAATTTATAAAGAAGTTTAATAGTTTAATGAAATTTTATCGTTTGTTTTAAGAAATTAATTGTACTATATCTTTATATTTTGCGCGAAAACAATATTATATCGCGTAAAATTTAAACGTCAATGTCGCGTCGTGAAAAGAATCAACATCATCGTATTAATATCATTCGAAAGATATTCATACCAGGTTATATACATCCAAAAGATCAGGATGTCTGACGTTGAAGAAGTACCACATTTGGAACCACAAAAAGAAATCGTGGAGGAATCTGCAATTGATTTAGAAACTCAAGAGAGTATGTATATATTTGACATATAAAGAGTGCAAAAGACTAACAATATTATATAACAGATTATAGAACTTGGAAATCAAATGCTGTTCAATTATATGATTATTTAAACACCGTTAACTCTATATGGCCTTCATTGACAACTCAATTTTTTCCTGATGTGGAAAAGTATGTATATGAGTTTTTTTTTCATGAGATTTTTAGATGAGAGTTTGATATTAATATTTATATGGAAGTGATGAAAAGAATAAAAGACATAAATATAGATTATTGACTGGTACTTTTACGTCTGGTCAAAAAGAAGAATATTTACAATTGGGTAGTGTTTCAGTGAAATCTGAAGTTGAAGAAGTTGATATTTCTAAATATGATCCAGATCTTGAGGGTGAGTAAAACAAGTAGTTTCAATATTTTTGGAATCATGAGGACTAATATTATTATAGAATTCATAACTTCACAACCTATCTCGGGTAAATTTAGTTTTGATCAAAAAATATTACATCAAGGTGATATTAATAGAGCTAGATATATGCCACAGAAACCAGATTTAATATCAACGATTAATAATAATGGTGAAGTTTTCATATTTGATAAGACAAAACATGCATCACAACCATCAGATGAATTTAAATTTGATATTAAATTAAGCTCACATAAAAAGGAAGGTTTTGGTTTAAGTTGGAATAATCATAAAGAAGGACAATTATTAACTTGTTCAATTGATGGATCAACAAAACTTTGGGATATTACAAAATTTAGTAAAAAAACTAAAATAATAGACTCACCTGTTCATGATTACAAGACAGATTCACAAGGAACAAATGATGTTTCTTGGTTACCTCAACATGATTCAATTTTCAGTTCTGTTGGTGAAGATAATATTATTAAAATTTTCGATACAAGAACAAATGAGATCATTAAAAGCAGCAATATTAAATCACATGCTGGTGGTATTAATGGATTAAGTTTTAATTTACATAATGAATATTGCCTTTCAACAGCTGATTCAAATGGTATTATAAATATTTGGGATATTAGAGATTTAGAAACCTCAATATTTAGTATAAATGGTCATGAAGGTTCAATTTCAACATTACAATTCAATCCAAATAAACCACAAATATTAGCTACAGCAGGTTCAGAGGATAATTTTGTTAAATTATGGGATTTAGGGAAACCTGAAAATGATCAATTAATCTTCTTACATGGTGGTCATATGCTTGGTATAAATGATATTTCATGGAATCCTCATGATACTTGGATGATTAGTTCAGTTTCTAATGATAATACTTTACAAATATGGAAACCATCTCAAAAGATAATATGATGATTTAAAAAAGAATAATAATAGATGATGAATGTACTTATAGAATAATATAATGTAGGTATATACATTTTAATTACCCAATCCGGAAGTCAACCTAATCCGAATTTACCCTCCCTTTAGTCTCATTACATAATCCTAGATTTGTTTCGCGAATTTTGCCGGCGAATCGAATTCTTCAAAACAAAATTGTTGAAAATCAGAAAAAAGGTCAAAAACCCCCTGTTAAAATAGGTGAAATAACAACTAGCTTGTGTTAAACTACACTGTTAAGATTCATTAATTTTCCCAAACAATGAGTTTACGTCAATTGTCCTTAAGAGGTATGTGATGATTCGATACAGAATGAAAGAATACACTGCGTTCAATGGATCATGGATAAAGAATTCCACGTTTCTTAGTAAAATGTTGGGTGTGAATACTTAGATATGATCAATTGAACTAGGAATTGGATTCAAATCAAAGAGATGATACTAACAATGGAATAGCTATTCGTCCAGCTACTTTTGCTTTACGTTCAGCACCGTAAGTTTATATCAATTGGATTTAATATTAAGAATTTGAGATATGATAGATCTATACAATAAGTATTTATATGACCATATCACCGTGTCATATCAAACAATTGAACAACAACAATTGTTCAATTTTGGAACAAGAATAACGAGAAAATCAATCAAGAATTCATAATTCAGATCCACATTAATACAATAAAGAATTATAAATACTAACCATCTCCACATAGAATTGGTGTTCGTTCTTTATCAACCACCCCAACTCCAGAACCAAAAGCTAAAGCTACTTCAATCATTGATGCTTTACCAGGTAACTCTGCCTTATCTAAGACTGGTATCTTAGCTACTGGTACTGCTGCTTCAATCTATGCTATTTCAAATGAATTATATGTTGTTAATGAAGAATCTATTTTATTAGCTTGTTTCTTAAGTTTTACTACATTAATTGCTAAATATGTTGCTCCATTATATAAAGATTGGGCTGATGCTAGAGTTAAATCTGTTTCAGATATTTTAAACTCATCAAGAACTAAACATGTTGAAGCTGTTAAAGATAGAATTGAAGCTGTTTCTGAATTAAAAGATGTTGTTTCAACTACTAAAGTTTTATTTGAAGTTTCTAAAGAAACTGTTGAATTAGAAGCTCAAGCTTTTGAATTAAAACAAAAAGTTGAATTAGCTGCTGAAGCTAAATCAGTTTTAGATTCATGGGTTAGATATGAAGCTTCAGTTCGTCAATTACAACAACAACAATTGGCTCAAACTGTTATTGCTAATGTTGAAAAAGAATTAACAAATCCAAAATTCCAAGATAAAGTTTTACAAGAAGCTGTTGCTGATATTGAAAAAGTTTTCGCATCTGCTAAATAAATCATTTAATTAAAAAAATTTTTCATATTCAAATAAAAATCATTGTTTTTTAGAAAAAATCATATGATATTAAAGAAAAAGAAGACAAAACATTTTTACAATAAATCAATTATATATTAGAATACATTACACTCATATGTTAAATTATGTTTCAAAAATTTAAAATTATAAAAAATTCAATTATAAGAGGAAATTTGAAAGGGAGGTTTGATTATCTTACTTTTAATTTTTTTCATTTTATAATATGCAGTTCATGAATGTTACAAAAACATAAAATTAAAAGTTAATTATTAAGATTGTAGTTTTTATTTATTCATCTATTGAATCAGCTTTACGTTTAATACCTAATGCTTCTTCTTCTTCAGAAGCATATTGTTCTTGTTCATAATCTTGTTCTTTATTTTGTGTCAGTTTTTGTTTATTTCTCACTGTAGATGGTATGAATTTTGTAGTTGTTGAAGTAATATTTAAAGGTTTTTGAACTTCAGGTGCAGATTCATACACCGTTTGAGATTGTTGAATTTTGAAAAATCTTGGTGGTGGTGATTTGGGTATTGGAATATTGGAAACTTCAGGATCAATTTCATACTTGTATGGGGTTTTTAAAGGATATGTTATATTTTTATGATTTTTTGGTGCTATTCCTAATGGACTATAATTGAAATGTTAGTATACAAAGTTCATTTTGAAGCCATTTAAAACTACTCACTTCCATTCAGGATCCCAGAATATACTTTTGATACCTAGTTCTATTGGTGGTTCTTGGATTTCTTGATCTTGAGGTGGTTTAGTTTCTTCATTATCAAATTGTGACAAGTTCTTCTTTGTAATGAATTCAAGATCTTTAATCAATGAATCCAATTGTCGTTGTTCACTCACGACTAATCTCCCATTGTTTCTTTCCCTCTTGGACTCCAAATCATGGATCCTTCTCCTTATTCTCCTTGGATCAACATGTGCCAATCTCTCAAGTTTCTCCTTTTGACGTTGTTCTTTAGCTTTTTTTAACTCTTTAGCCTTCTTTCTTCGATCTGGATGGTTATTGTTAGTACGAAATCCCAGTAAAAACAGAGGCATGGACAGACTCAAAACACTTACTTTCTTGTTCCACGATACTTAAGTTTCCTTTAGCCATTGTTTGTTTTTTTGTGTGGTTTTTGATGAATTTCTTGTTTGTTGATGTAGATTTTAATTGTTCAGTATACAAAATTAATTTAAAATCGTGAAAAACATCAACACTTTCTTGACCTTAACAAAAACATCAACATTAACAAAACCATCAACATCAACCATCACCAAACCCAATGCAGGCTCCAACGACTCAAAATGAACAGAATATAGACCACTCAGGTGTGCCCATTGAAGCTCTGGAATCTCTGAGACTTAGATTGACACAGGTAAGTTGAGTCTTTCCCATGATTTTGAATATCATAAGCTAACAATGCAATTAGTTAACTCATTCTTTGAATAAATTACAAAGTGAAATGAAAGGTCAACAAATGTCAAATTGGTGAGTATTATATTATTAAGATTTTGGGTCTGCTTGATCAAAATACTAATACTTTTTGTTTTACAGGAGCTCTATACAAAGTCAAGTCAACATCATATTCACACAATTAGCATCATTATCAGCTACATTATCAACATATTCAGAAACATTAGCTAAAACAGTGGTTTATCCATTACCTGATTTTCCTACAACAGAACAAGAAAGTTTATTAACAACATTATTAAGAAAAAAAGCATTACCAGAAGTTAATGAATGGATTGAAGATAGTAAAAAAAAATCAACAGATATTTTATTAAAAGATGATGAAGATTTAACAGATTGGGCATTAAATTTGGTTATTAATCAAAGAGATGAACATGAATTTAGAGGATTCCATACTAAAAAAGAAATAGATGAACAAATTAATGAAGATGATGATATTAAAATAAAACAAGATTTTTCAAGACCAAAATATTCAATTGATGAAGTATTAAAATTTATGTATCAAGGTAGTTTACCTACAAAATAATAACACAAGTAATATATAATGATAGATGAAGAAAAAGCAAAATAAAACTTTTATTTGATGTATTGTATCCATAAACATCTTGTGATATGTATGTACTTGAAATAGATACTTGGTTATGTATAGGGATAATGAAATTAATGAACTAAATCTAATCCATTGGTGTGATAATAAAATATGTACAGGTGGAAAAATCATCATCATCTCATGTAAAAGGAAACCATTCTATAATTTATCTTTTAAATCTGGTATGATCTTTCATGATTAAATGTTGAAAAATATATGCATAATTGAAGAGCTGAAAGTGAACAAAACATAATAAACGTCATAAAAACCCGTGAAAAGAAAAATTGCATTAAATCATAAGAATAAAATCATGATAATAATTTAATAACTAATTCCCAAGTACCAAACATAATAATACTATTTGGAACAGTTCTTAATAAATGAGGAGTTAACCCACCATACATTGAAGCTAAACCTTCTTCTTTAACAACTAATTTAAAACATTGTACTAATCCAGTATATTTTGGTTTCCCACCTTCAACAGTTGGAGCTTGTCTTAATCTTGTTCTAATGACTTCATGAGGATATGTAATTAATGATGCAATTAATTTGGCAAAACCTGCACTACCAGATCTTGCAGACCATTCTAAAAATGAATCTAAACTTGTTTTTTCCACACCAGATTGTTCTCTTTGTAATGATTTTTTATGTATTATACTCTTCATTTGTTCATAAAGAACCCATTGTAATGTACTTTCTACTGAACCTAAATATGATGCAGTTAAACCTTTATATAAACCTGCAAAACCTTCATGTTTTATAACAGATTTAATACAATCCCATGAATTTTTATATAATTTTGATGATGCTTTATCTAATTGTAATCTTGTTTTAACTAACCAAATTGGATTAGTTGCAGTTGAAGTGGCAATACCTGCACATGCAGCAGCAAATAAATGAACCCAAGCAGATTCTTGTCCATTATTGAAATTTTTAGAAATTAAATCTTTACCAACACCATAAACAAAGAAATTTATTGATCTTGCCGGAATAACACCAACTAAATTTGGTCCTAAACCTTTAAATAAAGATCTAAAACCTTCATTTTTATAAACATTATTTATTATACCAAAAGTTTCTTTAAAATGTTGACCAGCTTGTAATATTAAATTTTTTGATTTCATTTGATGTAAATAAGTATTTCTGAAAACATCACTTTGTAATCTTGTTTTAACAACATCAAAAGGTGAAGTACAAACAGCACCTGCCATACCACCAATACCACCAGCAACAAAATGAACCCATGGTTTAACTTCAGGTTTATGAGTTTCTTTTTGTAATTTTGAATCTTTTAATACTGATGATTTTTCATCACTTGCTAAATATGGTGTTGATTCTTTTGCTTCTTGACGAAGTTTTTCCAAATCAGGGTTTGTCATTGTGTATTATATATATTTGTAGAATTATTTGAATAAATATTTTTGATGTATTGTATAATGATGTATTTATGTTATATTTTAACGGTCTGGAGTTAATGAGTATTATTGATTTCTCTATATTCTAAGCTTTATTACCGCCAACAAAAACAGAACCAAATATTATATGTTGTTATTTCACACAAGGACTTTGAAAACCTTTGAATATCTTAATCAGAACTAAAATACAAATATCAAACAAGTTTGTATCGTATATAACTTTAAATCCCATATAACAATATATTATATAAAATTGAAATTTTTTTATAAATTCGCGGCTACACAAGGGCTTAAGTAAGCGATGGATTTTAAAAAGTGACACTTTAAAATTTGAATTTTATCCAATGAATTTGATGGTGAAGATAAGAGATGGAAAGAAATGTTATTTGAAGGAGAGGAATGTGTTGGGAATGGTCGGATGTGGATGGGCTCATGATAAAGAGCGTGTGTAATTATGGGGTGTTATAAAAGGGTTTGTTCTAGGTGTTTTGATTAAAGAATATATTAGCTGATTGAGCTTATATAGATTTTAAAGTCCGGGTAGTGATTGTGGATTTTTATATTATAATTATTAATTTCAGGAGTAGTAAAATTTGGAATACGTCTTTGATATTGAAGATAATTAATCAGAGCTCAGTGTACCATCTAATAGCTCATTCAATCAAGCAAACGAGGACGTAATAGACGTAACATTTGTCGTCGTTGTCGATATAATCTGATAACTCTCAAATTGAAACGCTGTTAATTTTTTATTCAGCCATAATCTTGATATATACAACTCTTTGAATGTTTGAACAAAACATCAAAAGTTGTACTAATAATCATGATGAACTCATATGTTCTCAATATAAATTGTGTTATGATGATCAGATATTCTATAAAGTTGATAGTTACATATCAACTGGTGATTTTTGGATTCATAATATACAATTCTTATCCCCTTTTTCAATATGTTTTGTAGTTGGCGGTTAGGTATAACATCAATCACATACGAATGAACGAAATTTATTAAATATGGTAATCGACATCAATATCCTATATGATTATGACATGTTATTAGTAGCTACTTGTTATTATATAGGTTATTTTCTTTACGATATCTCTAAGAGCTAAGGGAAAGTTCAAATTAAAAGTTCAGATGTATAAGAATCAGTAGATTAATAGATCAAGACTCCACATAATACAATTACAATCAAGAAATCTTACAAAAGACATACAATACAATATCCGAATCCAAAAAAGAAGCTGCCCGTTAAAAGATCTATTCAAAGTTTATAAAGTTAGCTATAAAAGTAAGAAAAATCATACAAATTTTAAATTTCACATAACCAACGATACTATTATATTATAGATACAAATAATAATTTTTTATTAAAAAAACTAATGAAAACAATTTAAATGTAAGTTTCGTATGGTAATGGTTTGATAGTTTCTGGTAAGTTACCTTGAGTTGAAACAACTCTAGCTTCTCTTGGTAAACCTGGTTGTCTTTTTAATTGAGCTGGTTCACCAGTTTCTCTAGCTTGTTTCTTTTTTTCAGCATTAGCTTTAACTCTTAATAAGAAATCTTTTCTTGAATCTGAGTGTTTAACATGTTCAACTCTTAAATGAACTCTTTTTTCTAAGTATTTGTTACGAACAATTTTGTAAACAATAACACCAACTGATGACTTGGTAACATCGAAAACTCTACCAGTTTTACCGTGGTACCATTTGTGTGGTAAACCTTTTTGAACAGCACCGTTACCTTTGATATCAACAATATCACCAACTCTGTAAGTTTTCAAGTAAGTTGATAATGGGATAACACCGTGCTTTTTGAAGTCACGTTGGAATAAGTATCTAGTACCAGATCTGTAACCGTGGCTATAAAATAAAAATGTTAGTATACTTGAATTATATTTGACTTTACAAGTTTAGACATTATTTGCTTATGATCCTCTATGAATAAAAAAACTCTGAACTATTCCATATTATATCTTGATTATGATTAAAACATGATTAAAACGATGAAAAACTTCCTGGAAATTTGTAGTACTCTCTCTAATATTCCTCTATTGTTTAAATACTGATCTTTATACTATATTCTTCTATTCCCTAATAATGTATGATTTTTCAATATAATTAATCTTTCAAACAACATAAATCAACTTGAATTAAACAAAATGAACACTGATGAAACATATAGGATCTTAAGCTTGTCTTTATCTTGATTCTGAACTATGCCATCACTTACGTATGAGCCATTTTGGATGTATTTTATGGTGACTTTAATGGTTGTCTTTCTATATTAAAGGTGAAGTTTAACACTATTAAAATTCGAGTAAATGTTTTATCCAATTTTTTTCAACAAAAGACAGTCTCAAAAAACTTGTTTGGGAAATTTGGGAAAAGTTAGTGGTGTTGGGATGTTTTCCATATATAATTTGTTTTGAAACGAGCAACACAACACAGATTTTTTTTGAAAAATTTAAAGATTTATGGAAAGTTCGCGATTTTGGATCTTTTAAGATGTGTAAGAAGTTATGTAATCAGTATAACAGAAGATCAAACCTCAATTGTGTCAAATAATTACTACTAGAGTCTAGTACTTGAGGTATATAGATTAGCTTTTAATGAGGTACTAATTGTTACGTTCTGCTGTACAAATTATATAAATCTGTTTAGTTTCTGTTTAGATACCATGCTTACTGATGATGAGCTTGATTCAAGTGTAGATTAATGAGCCATTAGTACATAATTTATAATATGGTGTTTCAAAGGCTTGATATTTTACTATAACTACTTTTAAAATCATTACCCAAAATCATTAATTTTTAAATATACAGAAATTCCCTACAATTATAAAAAGATATAAACCCAAAAAGTAAAATAAATTACACCATAATTATTCAAAAAAAGCATCAAAGAAATGTGCAAACACTATACACATAACCCCAAATAAACTTTTTCAAATCTATATTTCAACATTATGAACAATTAATTAATTTATTCTTCATCTTCAGCAGCTTCACCACCTTCAGATTTTCTAGCTTGGTTTCTTCTAGCAACACGACCAGCTCTACCACCACCGTATGGAGAAGTTTTAGCGAAATCAATGTGTTTTTGAGATTCTAATCTGACTAAGAATGATGGAATGTTAACAATTTGTTTACCAACAGCAATATGTCTTTGAGAGATTAAAACACGAGCATGATGAATTGATCTAGCTAAACCTAATTTGTAAACTTGGGTTTGTAATCTTCTTTCTAAGAAATCTTCTGGTCTTAAAGCTAAAACATAATCTAATTTCTTTTTGTCTTCTGATAAAACACCTGAACGAACTAAACGTCTGATTAAAGCATTACCTTCGAATAAACGTTTTGGATCTTTTTCATCTCTGGTTAATAAATCACGAGCAGCTCTTCTGATTTTAGATAATTGATAATTAATTCTGTAAATTTCATGTTTGTTTTTTAAACCGAATTCACCAGCTAATTTCAATTCAGCGTCTAAACGAGCTGATTCGTATGGACGTTTTGGGACAGTGTAAGTCTTAGAGTAAGTTCTTGGAGCACCTTTTAATAAAATGTTAGAATATATTCAGATGAATAAAACTCTGAAGTTACTACATAGAAGTGTCAAAAGGACAACCATAATTGAAAATCTTTTTAAAATATTTCTTCATATTACAATTCTATAAGCTATATTCAAATAAAAGTTGGAAGTAGGAATTAAACAAATAGGTAATCAAAATGTCTAGATGAACAAAACTCAATCTTGAACATAATCATCTATGGTTAAACCACAAAAGAATAAAGAACAAGAATAAAGTCAATGATGAATGATTAAATTGAATTAAATCCAGATATATACCCTTCATTAATCAAAGTTCAAACAACAATAAATTTCAAAAGACAAATTAATATGAAAACCCAAAATGTTTCCAAACTTCTCAACTTAAATGAAACATTGAAACTGAAGTGTCGGGAGTTCAGTTCAACTTATAGCTCATTTATGAATTGCAAGTTTTAAATTGAAGAAATAAACTGATAATTTCAAATTAATGAAAAGATCAGAAAATTTTCAAATATGAGGACCCGAACCTCTATGTTTAACAGAAAAACAAAATCAAAGAACTAGTACCCAAATGGATTCATTCAATCATGTTTTAATGTTGATGATGATTGCAAGCAATCAATAACCTCTTTGATAATGATCAAATACTTACGAGGCATTTTGACTGATTAGACGTTTAGTTGTTGAACCTTTAAAAGTGAAAAGAATAGAATTGTAGAAATCATAAACTTTTTTACTTCAACCATATTGAAGTTTTTCACATAATGGTTGATATTTTCGCGAATTGTGCTTATATCTCTCAGTAAAATTTAGACTGTTCTGAGAAATACCATTTAACGCCCAAACACCACTATTTTTCAAAAAACAGTCACTCAAGTTTGCATGATTATTTCGCGAAGGGAGTAAATTTTCAAAGAACATAGGTACATAACCATATCCTAAAACAGTGAAATTAGAGATAGCAAAGAAAAGATACCTGAGAATTTCAAGAACTTTAAAAATGCTTTTGATGATGAAGTACTTATGACAGGGGCAGGCCGCAGTAGTAGTACAAGTGGAGCTCGATTATGCTGAAGTATCGTATTGGTATTGATTATAAACTTTTAACTGGTGATAGTTGAACAGCATGTTTAGTTCCGTTTAGAAAGAATGTTCTTTTGCCCTACATAGATTTGCTTACATCGACTGAAAGTACTTTGCACTGATTTACTTGTAATTATAAGGCTTTGTACTTTAACTTTGGCAAATACCGGGATTAATGTTCTGAAGTAAACATGAATCTATACTAGCTATTGATCATTTGAAAGTTTTCAAATCAAGCATGTGATCTAAAATTCATATGACGAAGATTTATTCAACAATCAAATGTGAAATTGTACATCGTTATAGGTGTTTCTACATACTAGTTCATGAAGCTTCGAGGAAATTTTGTTCCTCTCCAGATTCAGGTTGAAATCGCGGTTTTGCATCCGAAATTTATTCTGTAAAAGACATGTGCGCTTGTGTCTTTATCCCTAGGATGAATAGCTTAAGAAAGAAGGGAAGCGATATTTCAGCTCTGTGAGCATATCATAAGATCAAATATAGAGTATGATCTAAGTCAAAGAACAATCTTTGTACCCTTAAAATATTTTACTCGCACTCTTCAAATTGTGCATACCTGACGATCTATTTTCGCGACTTTATTTGATTTTTTTTATTTGCCATCAAAACACGTAAGTCAACGAATGGCAGTAGTTCCAATTCATCAACAGTTAATAAATAAGTAAAATGTATGCTAAACATTGGATTATATGTCCATAAATATAACTAGAAACATCCTATAAAGTCAATAAACACTAGACGATTGCTTCTATCCACTTTATTGCGAACGTTTGTTAGTAATGCACCCCTTTATTTCCATTAAATCACTATGCTGACACGTTGAAATGAGCACAGACAACAAAAGTTTCGCTGATGAGTTCAAAATTTAAATTTTATATAAAAAGGTGCCCGAAATCCCAAATAGAAACTAGCGAAATTGATTCTTGTATTTAAATATAAAACAGATTCGCGCATTATATTTGTATCGCGCTTGTTAAGGGACACAGTCATATAAAGTCCATAGTTTTTTTTGTGTTTTAGTGGTTTTGTGTTACATTATAATTTATTTTACACAAAAAGAACTGATATTTGGTTGTTACTGGTAGTGATTTCGTATTTGAATTATAGTCCCCCCAGAACACCACAAAAGTGAAACCACAACAATAGATTTGTTTGCGTTTAGCGCGTCATATACAACACAATCCAAATCACATTTGATCTTGAGTCATGTCAAGACTAGAGAGATTAGTCGTGCTCTTAGATACAGGCTCTACTCAGTTCATAAGGAATACTGCTGCTGATCAACTAAGTGATTTAGCTAAGGCTCATCCAGAAGAAGTGTTGAACCTTTTGAGTCGTGTTTATCCTTTTCTTAATTCAAAAAAATGGGAAACAAGAACAACTGCCGCTAGAGCTTTAGGTGGTATTGTTGGTCATTCACCACTTTGGGATCCAAATGAAGATGAAGAAGGTGATATAAAACTAGAGGAATTAGATGATGCTAAAATCAAACTGGAAGAAAGTGAATTAAAACTGATCAATAGTAATCAATCATTTATAAGTTTTGATAATTGGAATGTTCAAGAACTGTTGAAATCCGATAAGAAATTTTTATCTTCATCAACTGTGGATGATTTTTCAAAGAATACCAACTCAATTGATTCATTAAAAAAGCAAAAAGTATCTACAAGTAATAAATTGGGTATCAAAACTGAATTTGATGAAGATTTGGAGAATGAATCTACACCAGAAGTTAAACAAGAAGTTAAACAAGAAATCAAACAAGAAATACCCAAGGAGAGTACACCAAATCCTCCTCCGCTACAATCAAATATATCAAGTGCAAGGTTGAAGGCAATGGCAAAGAGAAAAGCTAAGATGGAATCTAAAGGTGGTGGCTCTGCTAAGGCTAAACCTGTTGATTTATCACAAAGCTCCGTTTCTAAAGAATTAGTTAAAGAAGATTCGATTGACCAAAAAATTCAAAATTCTAATGGTAATGCAAGTAGTAAAATAGATGTCACTTCACAGGCCGGTGGTAACAAATTGGTTGTTGAGAATAAAGCTCCAGAAATTCCACCTGTATTAGCTGAGCATGCAAAAGTTGCTGGTCTTGTATGGCCTTTTCAAGGTGTTTATGAATTATTAGTCGTTGATTTATTTTCTGAAACATGGGAGATTAGACATGGTGCTGTTCTTGGTTTAAGAGAACTGATCAAGAAGCATGGTAGAGGTGCAGGGCGTGTCAAAGGTAGATCTTTAAAAGAAAATGATGCTAAAAACCGTCAAACTTTAGAAGATTTGTCATGCCGTTTGTTAACAATTTTTGCATTAGATAGATTTGGTGATTTCGTTTATGATACTGTGGTTGCACCTGTTAGAGAATCTGCTGCTCAAACTTTAGCTGCTCTATTAATTCATCTAGATGAAGATTTAGTATTGAAAATTTTCAAGAATCTTGATCATCTTGTGTTACAAGATGCTGCAGTAACAAATAAACTACCTTGTTGGGAAGCAAGCCATGGTGGTATGCTTGGTTTGAGATATTTTGTTAGTGTTAGAACAGATATTTTGTCTGCTAGACCTGAATTATTGGATGACGTGGTTAAGATGGTTTTACACGGATTGAAAGAATCAGATGATGATGTTCAAGCTGTAGCAGCTGCAACTTTAACACCAATTACTGATGAATTTGTGAAGTTACGCCAGGAAACAGTTAAAACTATTATATCAACCATTTGGGATTCATTGACAAGATTATCTGATGATCTATCTGCTTCGATTGGTGCTGTTATGGATCTTTTATCAAAGTTATGTATCCATCCTGAAGTTATGGCTCTGATTGGTGCTGAAGCCTTGGAAAATGAAGAACATTCGTTAAAAAATTTGATTCCAAGACTTTATCCATTTTTAAGACATTCCATCACAAATGTTAGAAAATCGGTTTTGAAAACATTATTGGCATTTTTATCTATTGATGATACTGAATCTAAAAATTGGATAGATTGTAAAGCTTTTAGGTTGATTTATCAAAATCTTTTACTTGAACAAAATGAACAAGTTTTGAAGTTATCTCAAGAAGTTTTCTTAAAATTGTTACAAGAAAGTGCAAACGTTAAAGATTTTGTCATTGATGAGACCTTGGCGAACCATTTACAACCTATTATCAATCTAACAATGACACCAATTGGTGTATCAAGATACAATTATTCAATGAATACAACATATTTAATGAAACCATCAGGTGCTGCTTTTGAGCAACAACTTTCGCATACAAATGCAATTCATGATTTTGGTGATGACAGTAGTGATGGCACTGCATCTAATGGGAGACGTGGTAAAAAGAGAAAGACCCCACCAACGAAACCTGAACCATCTATTCCAGTTCCAGAAAATGATAGAATCAACATTGATGGTCCGTTAATTATCGGTGATATTACATTATTAGGCATTGAAGTTTTTATAAGGACAAGATTAGCTGCTGCTACTGCGTTAGGTCAAACTTTGTCTTATTTAAGCGAAGATTCATTAAAAGTTACACTTCAGTTGTTGAAAAAATACCTGAATGTTCCACATTCTACTCCAAGACTATTAACATCTATTGCAATCAAGGAATATTGTACTTCATTGATTAATAGAAACTTGAAGCCATCAGCTGTTGCTATTGATATATTCTATGATGACATCGTTGAAGTCTTGAATGATCCATCTAAATTACCAAGTTATAGAGAATTAGTTCCTACTTTGAAAGCTGTTCGAACTCAATGTCACTCGTTATTTAGAGTTTTCGTTGAACAAGGTAAACTTTCATCAAGTAAAGTCCCAGAATTACCTGTTGTTGTTCATGGTGAAAATGAGGCTGGTCCAGGTGCTTTCAGTTTAGAATTAGCAGACTCTGTGGTGAATGAACAGTATGAAAAACTCTTGAAGGCTGTCACACCTGTTTATAGAATGTCAGCTCAAAAAGCACTAGAAGATGCTAAATCTCGTGTTTTAATGGCCACACAAGAAGCTAAAGACGCTAAACATAAAAGAACAATTAGTATTTTGTCTAACTATGCATCAGCTGCTATTTTATTAGGTGATTTACCAAAGAAATTGAATCATTTCATTCGTTCATTAATGGATAGTGTTAAAGGAGAAGATCTAGAAGAACTACAAAAGAGATCATCTTCATCTGTTGCTGACTTAATTGAAAAATTGATTTCTAATGGAAAAAGCAATGTTTCCAATAAGATTGTCAAGAATCTTTGTGGGTTCTTATGTGTTGATACTTCAGAAGTTCCAGAGTTTGGTTCCAATAGAGATGTTAAAGACATTATTTTATCGTTGAAGAAGGAAGAAATTGTTGATAGCTCTAATAATTCTGCACTTGAATCCCGTATAAAGAGAAGAGGTGCTAAATTTGCATTAGAGAATGTGTTGATAGTATTCAAAAGTGAAATATTTGAAAAGGTTACACAATTGAAGAGTGTTATTTTCGAACCACTAAAAGCATTAGAGTCAAGTTCTGAAGTTGAGTTTGATGACACCACAGGTCAAGCTGCTGTTGATGCACTTGGTGTATTGAAAGTGTTGATTCCAACTTTTGATAAATCTTTACATGATGAAATTTTAGCACTTTTACCATCTATCTTGAATGCATTGAGATCAAGCTTATCGGTATTGAGATATTCCGCCGCTAAAGCTCTAGCTATACTTGCCAAGGTCATTCCATCAAAGACCATTCCATTCATTGTTAAATCTGTATTACCTTTATTGAACAATGCTGGTAGTGTTAAGGAACGTCAAGGTGGTATTGAAGCTGTTTATCATCTTTCAAGCTCTATGGATTCTGATATTTTACCTTATGTTATATTTTTGATTGTTCCTGTGTTAGGTCGTATGAGTGATGCTGATAAGGATGTCCGTGTCCTGGCCACAACAACATTCGCATCTATCATTAAATTGGTCCCATTAGAAGCCGGTATACCTGATCCAGAAGATGTTCCTAAAGAATTATTAGAAGGTCGTGAAAAAGAACGTGAGTTTATTCAACAAATGATGGATCCTTCCAAATCTAAACCATTTGACTTACCTGTCGCTATTGATGCCACATTAAGAAAATACCAACAAGAAGGTGTCAATTGGTTGGCATTTTTGAACAAGTATCATTTACATGGTATTTTGTGTGACGATATGGGGTTAGGTAAAACTTTACAAACTATTTGTATTGTTGCTAGTGATCACCATCTAAGAGCTGAAGATTATAAAGTCACAAAGTCTATTGAAACAGCCCCATTACCAACTCTAATCATCTGTCCACCTTCTTTGACTGGTCATTGGGAACAAGAATTCAACCAATATTCTCCATTCTTGAAGGTTGTTGTTTATGCTGGTGGTCCTTCATTTAGATCCGGTATTCGCCCACAATTGAACTCATGTGATATCATTGTCACTTCGTACGATGTTGTTAGAAATGATGTTGAATTCTTATCTGCTAAGGACTATAACTACTGTGTGTTGGATGAAGGTCATATTATCAAAAATGCTGCTTCCAAATTGACTAAATCAGTTAAAAGAGTTAGATCAAATCATAGATTGATTTTATCTGGTACCCCAATTCAGAATAATGTTTTAGAACTTTGGTCTTTATTCGATTTCTTGATGCCAGGTTTCCTTGGAAGTGAAAAATTATTTCAAGAAAGATTTGCCAGACCAATTGCTGCTTCAAGAAATTCTAAGACATCTTCAAAAGAACAAGAAGCTGGGGCATTAGCACTAGAAGCTTTACATAAACAAGTTTTACCATTTATGTTGCGTCGTTTGAAAGAAGAAGTTTTATCAGATTTACCACCAAAGATCATTCAAGATTACTATTGTCAGTTGAGTGATTTACAAAAACAATTATATAAAGATTTTGCTAAGAAGCAAAAAACAATCGTGGAAAACGACATTCAAACTGTTGAAGTTGCAGAGAAGAAGACTCATATTTTCCAAGCTTTGCAGTATATGAGAAAATTATGTAACCATCCTTCTTTAGTTTTATCAGAAAGTCATCCACAGTATTATGAAGTTCAAAAATACTTGAGAGATACACGTATGTCAATTCATGATATTCATCATGCTCCAAAATTAATGGCTTTACGTACATTGTTATTAGAATGTGGTATTGGTACTGCAGATGTTGAAAAATCAAACTCAGCTCAGAATACTGGAAATGTTATCAGTCAACATCGTGCATTAGTCTTTTGTCAATTGAAAGATATGTTGGATATGGTTGAGAATGATTTATTAAAAAAATATTTACCTTCGGTTTCTTTTATGAGATTGGATGGTAGTACTGACCCAAGGGACCGTCAAGGTATTGTTCGTAAATTCAATGAAGATCCTTCTATTGATGTTTTACTACTGACTACAAAGGTTGGTGGTTTGGGTTTAAACTTGACTGGTGCTGATACTGTTATTTTTGTTGAGCACGATTGGAATCCAATGAATGATTTACAAGCTATGGATAGAGCTCATAGATTGGGTCAAAAGAAAGTGGTCAATGTTTACAGATTGATTACTAAGGATACATTAGAAGAGAAGATTATGGGTTTGCAAAAATTCAAAATGAATATTGCATCAACTATTGTCAGTCAACAGAATGCTGGGTTGTCATCAATGGATACAAATCAATTATTAGACTTGTTCGATGTGGAACAACATGGCCAACAAGAGGAACATGTTTCAGAACTTGAAGATATAGAAAAGAAGAAGAATGGTGGTACCAATGGTCAAGATATAGTGACAGAATCAGGATTGACTGGTAAAGCTGGTGCAGCCATAGGAGAGTTAGGAGAATTGTGGGATCAATCACAATATGAAGAAGAATATAACCTTGATACTTTTATCAAGAGTTTGAAATGAAGAGATGTTATATGATTATTATAATCATTTTTAAATTTCGTATGAATTTGTTAATGACTATTGTTTATGAAGAGAGGACTTTTTTAAAATGAACTTGAAAAATATTAAAACTTGTATATTAATGTAAATAATGTCTTTTGTTATAAGGACTACTATCCAAGAGATCTGTCATAATTGATTTTAATATAAATGCATTTGAGTTTTTATTGATTTGTAGTATAACACCAGTGTATACTAACCAATCGATATTCGCGGGTGTATAACAAAAAAGTAATAATTACATATCGCTTCCAATTAACATGAATTAAAGATAGTTCAAAGTGACACAGAAGCCTTACAGAACTATCAAAATTACCTCATACAACTCATAAGATGTCATTAGAACAACAAGCACAAGATAGAAAAAGTAGACTTGCCGCATTGAGAAACAAAAGGAAACCAAATACAACACAAACAGATGAATCTGAACAACCTTTAAAAAAACAAACATCAGAAAAGTAAGTTATATTTTTATATTGAATTATAATAGAATAATATATTAACATTTGTATGATAGTAAAATCATATCAAGAAATTTTGATTCAGAAAGTCGGGAAAATATAACAGGATTTGATTTACCACCAACAGTACAAGATGAAAATTTAGAAACAGTTGAAGCAGTATCACAAAAAATTCAAGATGATATATTGAAAAAATTTCAATCAACAGTTGATCAAAATTTTGCAGAAGCAGGTAAAGATAATTTAAAAGTTGAAAATATAAGGAAAAAGGCAATTACAAGTGATTTAATGAGAGATTTACAACCAAAATTAGATGTTTTAAATGAACGTACAAATGAATCAATTCAAAAAATTTTAAAAGAAAGAATAAGGAAATTAAGGGAAGATGTCACTACTACAAATTGAATAGTTAAAGAACATATTAATGAAAATTATTGAAATGAATATTATTATTGTAGTATACATTCTTTCATCTATATTTGAATATTATAAATATGCTTTTTTTAAAATGACTTTTGATTTTTTCAAAGTTTAATATATTCCTCCCCTTCCGTTTATATATATATAAGTATGATGAATATGGTACAATGTTGTTATAAAGGTGATTAAGCATCAGTATTATTCCAAGCTTCAACAAAATATAAGATTGCAAAAACAAAGAAGGCAAAAGCACCACCTAATGTAACAGTTCTCATACTAATTCTTGATGCCAACATCTTACCACCAATAACAGCAGCTGCAGTACAAAGACCATGACCAATAACAGCACCTGAGATAACAGACCAATAATCTGAACCTGCAGCCATAGCAATTGTAGCAATTTGAGAACGATCACCCCATTCACCTAAGAAAATCATAATGAAAACTTGAATCCATACTGGATCTAAAATTAAACCACATAATGATTTAAAATTTTCCATTGCAGTATTGATTAATTTAGCATCTCTTTCGATATTTGGGTTTGAAGGACGACGATTTCTTTGATTTGATTCTAAATCATTTAATTCATGATTAATATCGGTAACTTCTAATTCTTCTTCAACTTCAGCTAATTCTTCTTCAACACCAAGATCTTTTGACATTTCTAAACCTTCTTTAGTTAATTTGAATCCAAAGACAATGAAAAGGAAAGAAGCTAAGAATTGTGTAACTCTTTGTGAAATTAAAGTTGGTAATGCATGACCAACAATACCTGATAATACAGTCATAACAGCTAATGAAGCAAATGAAGCAGTGAAGACTAAAATTCTTGAATGACGCATTGCCATTAATGCAGAGATTAGAAAAGTTTTATCACCAATTTCTGAAACAACAATCATGGAAATAGCCATAAATAAAGGAGATTTACTATTTGGATCTTCTTTTTTAGAATCATCTTCATTAGTCTTTATGATTTTTGAAGATTCAATTGAATTTGTTGTATCTATTTGTGACTTTGAAGATTTAATATTATTTGTAGTTGAAATTGATGATGAATCAGTTGTTGATAATTTTGAATTTTGAACTTGATCTTCAATCGGTATAGAATCTGAATCAGTAACACCATCAAGTTCAGCACGAACGTCTCTTTTATTTAATAATCCACCAATTTGAATTGAATGAGGAGCTTTATTTAATGTTTCTAGTCCTTCTAAAGCATCAACATTTTGTGATAACACTGGACCTAGTATAAATATTGATGATAATATATAATTTGTAAATTTCATGATGTGTTTGGGAAGATGATCCGGACTTGGTGTCAACAATTAAAGAGTGAAGATTGGAATTGAATTAAAGAAAAGACACAGTGTTTCTAGTAAGTTGAATTCCAAAACTTGAGTTAAACAAACACTTTTAAATAACAAAAATCACACTTCTTTTAACTCTTCAAAACAATGAAATCTATACTAAAATTTAATATCACTGATTGTTATCGAAATTTATTTCATTATTATTTTTCAAAAAAGACAATCGCTGTTTTTTTTTATTTTTTTCTTTTTTTTTCGCGACGCACACGGGCCCCCTTTCGCGAAATATGCGGCTGTCATTTCCTAATGTGTCATTCTCTCCGGTTATTGGCCAATTAAATTACTGTTTTTGGTCATTGAAGTGAAGGACATCGTGGGTTTTTAAATGAATGTGTTTGACAGTTGTTGAGTTTTGATTCAAGTGGTTGTTAAGTGGATTATGAAGAACGTGGTGTGAATTATGGTTGTATTGATTGTACTATTGGTTGGGAAGAAGAGACCAAAGGAATTATGGTTGTAAAGATGTTATGAAGAGATTGATATTATACGTAGGATGCAGTTTATATTGAACATGGCCATATCGTCGAAGTCTAACGGTTTATTGGATTGGCGATACTATTAGACTGCATATTTGAAAAGTCTTGTGTCTCGTGGGTATACTATGTATCTTTGACAGTTAGCTATAGGTTATTTAAAAGGTTGATCACAATTTGACTTCAGCTAGATCTCTCGACTGGATGTACTATTATTCATGTGATTGATTAAAGGAGTCTGTGTTGCATGGTCATATATATAAAGTGGCACAGCTGACCTGAAAGTTATTATCAAGATATATTGTTGATGTGATAATGAAACATGATGGATCGTTTTAATATTCTTTGAAATGATTTGAGATCTGAAGATCTGATCTGTTTTACTCGCGCACACAAAAAATTTGTGGTAAAAAATCAAAGAACGCAGTTTAGAATGCTCAATATATTGAAATATTCAATTCATAGATGGCTATATAAAAGTGTGTTCATTTGATAGCTATGGAATTATTGAATATTTTTTACTACTATCACTATACTCTTAAAGTGTACTGCTGATGAGTTATCCCTAGATTAATACAGTATAACCCATTTATCTTTCTTAGCAACAACTCGGAAATGCACGCAAAACACGCAATTTGCACTTAGTTTCGCTCGCTCTACTGAAGGTCGGAGACTATCACAAATTCATGCCAATTACAATGGATGAAATATTTTAAATATAGATGGTTATATATGAGTAGTGGTAGTGAGTAGAACATATTTTATTTAGTATTATTACGCTATTTTGGAACGTGTAGTATGTACTTGTGTCTATTTATATCCAATTGAAATTGCTTATTTTCAATTGATGGAAAGTACAGTGCCAAAAAATGTTAACTATGGTGAGAAACATTGGTTGTGGAATAAACAGTTTTAAAGAACTAGTGTATACAATCGAATAATATTAATTAACTGACGCTTAATAGATTACATATTTAGTACAATCAGTATCTATTCTTTTCTACTTGAAAATATAAATTTATCTCAAAAATTGTATATTGAATCATACCAAAAGTTAAAGTAATCATCTATCTAATTAAAGACCAATGAATATACTGTTAAACTTGGTGATGATGTATTTTTCATATAGTGAATAGTATGATAATTTCATAGTTAGTTGTAGTACCAGTGTATAATACATATGTCACTCAAACGTCATAATTACTCTGAAATTCATATATATATATATATCTGATATAATAAATATTCATCCTAGATCCAAGCCGAATTGAATTAGAGGTTGAAAAACTGCAACAATATTTATTAAGACGTCTCTTTCTTAATTCTTTAGGAATTCATGCAAATATTGACCATATATTACACCAAAAGAGAAACCTTAAAATTGATATTCAAATTAACTAGGTGATTTTAACAACATCTCAATCATAATTCAGCAATTTCCATGATGTCGCTCTAGTATAAGTAATTTGAACTTTGGTCGGCGAACTTTTTACTATTTGAGGCAGCCGCGTAAAAAAATTAACTCTATTACATTACGTAATATTAAAAAATTAAGCTCGCCATCTCTTGTACCGTAAAATGTTAAATTATAATAGCTGTACTTGTATATTCAACAATGTATATGACAATGGTATTCATGTATTATAATATAATATATAATACTTTATAATAAATATGTTTCAATAAATAAGTTTAAATAAATAAATAATAAATAATTAATAAATAAGGTTCGACCTGAAGGGATCATTAATGATGGAAATCATGAGGTAATCCATGAACTCGACCATCAAAAACTTTAGCATCTTTAACCCAACCACCATATTGAACTTTATCAGTTTTTTCTTTATGGAATTGTTCCATTCTTTCTAATAATAAAGGTTTAAAATTTTTAACTAAAGCTTGAACAGGCCATGCAGAGGCATCACCTAAACCACAAATTGAATGACCTTCAATTCTTTTACTCATTTCAATAATCATATCAATTTCTTTTGGTTTAGCATCACCAATGACAAATCTTTGCATTGTTTTAGATAACCAAGTTGTACCTTCTCTACATGGAGTACATTGACCACATGATTCATGTCTATAAAAATCTGATAATCTTGAAATTGCTTTAATAATATCTGTTGATTTATCCATAACAATAACTGCACCTGTACCTAAACTTGAACCAACATCTTTTAATCCATCATAATCCATAAGAGCTTTACCTGACATTTCTTGATTTAATGAAGGAGTTGAAGAACCACCTGGAATAATTGCTAAAAGATTATCCCAACCACCTCTAACACCACCACAATGTTTTTCAATCAAGTCTTTCAAAGGGATTGACATTTCTTCTTCAACAACACATGGTTTATTAACATGACCTGAAATACCATATAATTTTGTACCAACATTACGTTCTCTCCCCAATGAACTAAACCAATCAGGACCACGACGTAAAATAGTTGGAGCAACTGCAACAGTTTCAACATTTGTCACTGTTGAAGGTCTACCAAAAACACCCACAGCAGCAGGGAATGGAGGTTTTAATCTTGGTTTACCTTGTTTACCTTCCAATGATTCAATTAATGCAGTTTCTTCACCACAAATATAAGCACCCATACCTCTATGAATATAAACATCAAAATCATAACCAGATCCACATGCATTTTGACCAATTAATCCATGTTTATAAGCTTCATCTATAGCGCTTTGTAAAATTAAATATTCATCATAAAATTCACCACGAATATAAATATAAGCCGCTGTTGCATTCATTGCTCTACCTGATAATAGACAACCTTCAATTAATTTATGAGGTTCTTTCCTCATAATTTCACGATCTTTACAAGTACCAGGTTCACCTTCATCTGCATTAATAACAACATATCTTGGACCAGGATTTTTTTCCCAACCTGGTGGATTCATAAATGACCATTTCATTCCAGAGGGAAAACCAGCACCACCACGACCTCTTAAACCGGATTTTTTAATTTGATCAATTAACCATGAATCTCCCTTAAGGACTAATTCTTTTGTCTTATACCAATCACCTCTCTTTTGTGCAGATTTTAAATCATGTCCATAATAACCATATAAATTTTGGAAAATTCGATCAGAATCTTTTAATCCACCATGAATTCTATTGGGGTTTATGTTTGCTTCTGTTGCTAAAGATCTTGATTGAAATGTAGCATGTCTTAATGGAAGTGATTTCCAAGTTCGACTTAACATCTTGATAGACTAACTTTATGATTTAAAAGTTGTTGTTGTTGAACAAGATTTATCAATTTATTTGTATTAAAATTCTAAACAAATCATGAAACTCCTTATTTTTTTAAACTGGGGATGTTTATATAATCAATCATTTTGTTATTTTTCGCGAATTAATTTATTTAATGATTCCAAAAATTTTAATAAATTAATTGGAATTCTATTACTGAAAAATTTAGCTAATGTAATTAAAGGTAATCTTGAAACATTTCTACCACTTATTTGCTGGTCATAACACATTGTGGCTATTGTTGATAACACAGGGGAGAATTTATGATCAATTGATGATATTTTTTCATTATGAATTATAATTTTATTTTCAATTAATTCATTTATTGATTGAATTAAAATTTCCATTATAGCTTCATTATTTGGTCTTTCAATATAGAAAATTTCATCACATCTATCTAGAAATGCATCATCTAATGAATTTTTATTATTTGATGTTGTTAATATTAAGAAATTATTAAAAGGTTTTAAGAAATCTAATTGAGTTAATAAAGTATTTACAACTCTTATACCATCATTTGTTTCATTTTGTTTTAATAAATTTGATCTTGAACTTGCTAAAGTTTCAATTTCATCAATTAATAAAATAAAATTTATATCTGGATTCATTTCAATTAATTTCCGGAAATTCTGGAAAATTAATTCTAAATTCTTGGAACTTTCACCAAAAAATCTTGAAAAAATTTTGGAACATTTAAATTCAATTAAACAACCTGATTTCATTTGAATTGATAATTTTTGTGCTAATGCTTTACATAATGAAGTTTTACCTGAACCTGAAGGACCATATAATAATAAAATTTTATTAACATTATTCAAGATTAATGGTTTTAAACTTTTTTGTGATAATATTAATGAAATTTTAGAATGACCAATTAATTGATTTTTTAAAAAATTATTAAATTTTAAATTTTTCCATAAATGTTGATAATTTGAATTGGGGATTATATTCATTTCTAAAAATTCCATTACTTCAGGTGATGTTATAGATTGAGTTATATATGAATATTCAAATAATTGAAATTGTGAATTATTTGAATTTAATGTTATATTATCAAAATCTTCAATTAAATTTTTTTCAATATTTAAATTTTCATAAATGGTTATATTGAATGAAGTTTTATCAGTTGGAAAGCCATCATCAGGGTTTTGCTCATCATCACTTAAACATATCCCATCAATAATTTCAATTGATTTAATAAATATTGAAATTAATAATTCAGATTTTGATAAAGTTAAAGGAGATGAAATTAAATTTGATAATAATTCATTTGATATATTAAATTCAGTGAAATTTTCCATTAATTCTAATTCAGAATGCTGTATAAGAGTATCTTCATGATTTTTTAAATATAATGATATAGCGGTTATTAAAATATTTTTATAAATATCATGATTTAAATTTATGAATTCAATTAAAACAATTTGTGAAGAATCAATTGGTTTTTGAAGCGCTTCAATGTTGATTAAATAGTTGATATTGGTGTTGATGTTCATTTCTATGTTGATGTTTATTAATTTACCGCCATGATTTAATAGATTCAGATTTTGAAAATTAAAATATTCTTTATTGTTTAAATGAAATGTCAAATTCTTAACTATGGGGAGTGTTGCGCGAACCACTTTGATAATACCATAATATAGTAATACTAATAAAGGATATTAATCAATATTGAATACTATTAAAATAAAATAATAATTAATCAATAAAAGTGTTTATTATTTATATTATTATTTATATATAATCAATGTTAATTATTAGTTTATTAGTTTATTGTTCACGCGCTTAACCTCCCAATTAGGAAAGTCAATACACTCGCTTCTTCTTATCAATCAAAAATCTCAATTATCTCCACCATACATAAATTTCATTGAACTATATATAAATATTGAACAATTTCCATTCTTTAATCAACAATATCAACAACGTAGTAAACATCTATTACTCCCAACAAAACAAAACAATCATGACTTGCTGCTCCAAAAAACAATCATCAACATCACAATCAACAACACAATCAACTACACAAATCAATCCACAACAAACTTCTTCAATAAAGTCATCATGTGGTTCATCAACAACAAATTGTAAATGTGGTCAAGTTTGTAAATGTACTGTGGAATCATGTCAATGTTCTTTAAAGTTATAAGCTTTGGTTATATATAAGGTTTGGTATGGTATGAGGTTATGTTTTAGGTGGTGTATATGAAAATTTATGTCTTTTTATTTAGTAAAGGTGTAGAAAAGTACAAGATGATAACAATTCTCATAATCATAAAATGTATATATACAATAAATCAATAAATAAATAAGTAAATATATATAAAGCTATATTATAATTTTGAATGACCATATGGACATTTACCTGAAGCATTTGATGAAGTAGTTTGTTGATAATTTGATCTTGGACTTAATTTAAAAACTTCTTTTTGAATATCTTCACTTAATTTTTTGGAAATTTTATTAAATAATTTAAAAACTTCATCTTGAATTTCAGGTTTTGCCCCACAGACATGAACTGATATATTATGTGCTAAATTTTCTTGTTGACCTGGTGTTTTACTTAGCACTTTATTATATAAATCTCTAGCTTGAACATAATCAATATCTCCTTCAACTTTCCAATGGAATGGTTGAGCTGTACCTTGCCAATATTCTTGATTTGATTGATAATTAACTTTTGGTTGTGGTGTATATTCAACTGGTGTTGGAACTGTACCAGAATAATAATTTGGTTTTGAACCATAATTCCCATTAATAGTCATGGCACCATCTCTTAAAATTGGATTAAAAGTTTTTGCATATGGACAATTAACTGGAATTTGTGCATAATTTGTACCAAGACGATGACGATGAGTATCTGGATATGAAAATAATCTAGATTGTAAAACTGGATCTGCTGAAGCTTCTTGATATGGTACTGTATGTGAAGGACTAAACGCGGCTTGTTCAATCTCGGCAAAATAATTTTCTGGATTTTCATTTAAAACTAATTTACCAAAACGACGTAATGGGAATTGATCATGTGGCCAAACTTTTGTTAAATCAAAAACTGAAAATGGTAAATTTTGTGCTTCTTCCTCAGTCATTGATTGAATATATGCAGTCCATGATGGAGAATCACCTTTTTCAATTGAATTAAATAAATCCTCTTGTGCATGATCAGGATTTGAACCAGATAATGAACCAGCCTCTTCATTATTCAAAGTCTTGATACCTTGATCACTAATTAAATGAACTTGAATATATCTCCATTCACCTTTAGCATTTGACCATTTATAAGTATGACCACTATACCCATTCATATGTCTATAAGTTGCTGGAGTACCTCTATCAGAAAATAAAATCATAAATTGATGAATAGCTTCTTGATTTTGAACTAAATAATCCCAAAACATATTTGGATCTTTTAAATGAGTTTGAGGATTTCTTTTTTGAGTATGAATAAAATGTGGGAATTTAATTGGATCTCTTATAAAGAAAACTGGTGTATTATTATAAACCCAATCAAGATTCCCCTCTTCCGTGTATAATTTAATTGCAAAACCTCTTGGATCTCTTGCAGCATCTGCAGAACCTTGTTCACCACCAACAGTGGAAAACCTAACAAGAGCTTTAGTCTTTTTACCAATAGTATCTAAAAACCCAGACCCACAAACATCTGAAATATCATCAGTAACTTCAAAAAACCCATAAGCACCAGAACCTTTTGCATGAACAACTCTTTCAGGAATACGTTCTCTATCAAAATGAGCTAATGAATCAATTAAATTAAAATCTTGTAATAATAGGGGACCATGATTTCCAATTCTTTGAGTTTCAAAAGGATTTGGTAATGGATAACCTTGAGAAGTGGTGACTTTTTCACCTGAGCCTTTGTTGTTTTGAGACATGATTGAATGATAATTGATAGTAATTCAATCAGTGGCAAAAGATCAAAACAACCAAAGGAAATCCATCTTTATATATTAAAATTCAATGTAAACAATAAAGTGACAGATGAGGGGTTTGTCGAATCACAGCAATTCTCTTTGTAATCTTTCGCGATTCTGGACTTTTTAGTTTTTGGATTTTGCCGGTTATCTTTTTAGCTGGGGAAAACTAAAAAATAGGCGTAATAGCTTTCCTAATTTGGTTGATAAGAGAAGGTTATTCATAGTATTTGTATACTGATTATACTACGTATATTCTATGTTGTATTATATGATTGTGTAGCAGTTATTGGTACTATATTATTATTAGTTCTTTGTTAGATCATCTTATCGTTATTGTGGTGCTTGTTATCAGCCGAGGACCATATCATGTGGAACGGCTAATATCAATATACTGTATATGGATATATGGAAGTACAATTGTATTTAATATTGTTTTTATAATAGTATACATTTTTATTCAATTATACACATTTATATTGAATTACCAGTTCTTAAAATATAATTATTAATAGGATCCAATTCTAATTTATATTCTTCACTATTAGTCAATTGTAAAATATCATTACTTGATATTATTTCTCTTAATCTAATATCTTCATCATACCATTTTTTAATTAATATTTTCAATTCTTGTGTATATAATTTATAATTTTCATCTGTTGTATTTGTATCAATTAATTCTTTTAAAATATAATATAATTTATCAAATGATACACCACTTTCCAAAAAAATATTAATCAAATCACCAAATTGATATAATTCAATATTTATATCAATAATTAAATCCATTATAATTGGGAATAATTCATTAATTGGGAAAACAAATTCTGATGTATTTAATTTTTTACCAACTTTTATAACAGTTTGATATAATGATGAAATAAATTTGTCACCATTAATATCTGATTCTGCTGTCTCTTCATTAAATTTAATTGATTCAAATAATTTTGACCATCTTGATAAAATTTCATCTGAATTTCTAAAATCTGAAACTTTAAAAATATTTAAACAAATTTCATGATATCCTAAAACATCTGCAAAATCATTAAATAATTCACTAACTGTCAAGATCTTACCATTTAATTGTTCAATTAATTCATCTTTTTTAGAATCAATTAATTGATGATCATATGAAATTGAAACTAATAAATCATATTGAATATTTGAAGCTTCAAAAACTTCTTCAATTAATGTTGATAATTCAATAACTTGTTGTCTTTGATTTGGTAATGTTGTACAATTACAAAATCCAATTGCACGACTTAAATATTCATTTCTTTGACTTAATGAAATATTAAAATCACTTAATGCTAATGAATAAGAAATCAATGCAGCTTCATAAAAATTTGATCTTTTAGAACGGAATATCCATAATAAATCTGAAATTTCTAATGAATCTTGTGATTTTTCTTCTAAATATTCCAAAATAAATGGTGTATCAATTTCTAATAATCTTTCACTAATATCTTGTTTTAAAAACCAATCATAAAATTCATAATGAAATAATTTATCATTAAATTTAAATGCAACTTCATAACTAAAATCACGTAATTTAATAAAATCAGTTATAAAATTATTATTTGAATCTTCTAAAAATCCAAATTTATCAAAATCATCTTCTTGTTGTTGTTGTTGATTAAAATTGGCTTCAATTGTTAATTTATCAATTTTTTCTAATAATTGGAAAACAATTTCAAAAATTTCAATTCTCTTATTATAATATTTAACTCTATCATCATTTTTCAATTTACCATCCAAAATATATTGATTAGCTAAATTACCTTTATCTAAAGCATTTGAAATATTTAATGCAAATTTAATAGCTCTTGGATAATCATTTAATCCAATCATAATATCAATTGATTCTTTAACTTTTTCTACACTAACTTCATTATTTATAGCTTCAAATAATTCAATTGCACGACTTAAATGATAATTTAATCCATCATAATCTTTAAATCCAATTTCTTTAGCTTTTCTTAAATGCTCAATTGCACGGAATCCAACAACATCATTTGCTGAACAAAATGATCCACAACGTTCTTGTAAACCTTTAGCAATATATTCAATTGATTCACCACGACTCATTGAACGATTAATTATTGATGATAAAATTTCTTTAATAAGGTTTTTAGATTCATCATTTGGTGAAAATAAATCTTTAAATTTTAATTTTGATAAAGAAATTTGAACATCTAATGATAAATATTTAAAAATATCTCTTAAATTTAAAATTTCATCTTGACCATTATCAATTTCATTTGAAAAAATTTCTGATTCACCACCTTCTTTTAATAAAACAACAAGAAATGATAATGCTTCTTTTATTGAAATAATTAATCTAATAATTGAATTGATTGCAATATTTTCAGCTTGATTTGCAAATTCTTCAGATTTATCTAAATTTTTATTATTAAAACTACTTGGTGGTATAAAACATGCAATTGAATTACCATAAGTTTGGAAAAATTCATTTAAAACACTAATTGAACTTAAGAAAAATTCAATTTGTGATTGATCAATATTTAACCCATTTAAAAATTCATTTTCAAAAATTGAATTTTTAATTAATTCACCACCAGTTTTTTCATATTTAACATCTTTTGAAATTTGGAAAACTTGTTTATCCCAAATTTCACGGAATAATCTACCAATTAATGTAACAATACCATAAAATCTTGGACTTAATATAACATTTTCAAATTTAAATTCATTTGTTCCATTATTTGAAGATTGTAAAACTGAATTAATTAATGATGTATTTGAAAAATTTGAAGAAACATAACGTGGTTTAAATTCAACAATATTTGGAATACCTAATGTGAAAAAACTAAATGCATTTGATCTTATAGTTTTAGAAATGTTATATTTACATGTAACATATAATGCAGTTGATGTTGATTCCATAATACCATATTTATTGACAAATGGTAAAAAATCTTCAACTAATGATTCAAAAACTAAATCTGGTTTTCTAAAACGATAAATTTGTAATGATGTATTTGTTAAAACTGCAACTTCAAAATCACCTGAAATATATTGTGTTGCAAATTCATTTGCATAACCTTGTGGTCTATCTGTTGCATTAAAAGTTGATGATAATGGAACAATTTGATGAACTTGACCTGAACATTCTAAAAATGTAGAATTTTCAACATATTGATTATGATATTTTAAAATACCATAATCTGGTACTGTAACAAATAATTTATTTTCATTTGAATCTTTTTTTTCAACAACATCGAAAAAAATCCCTGGTGAAATAATTTTACTTGAAGATTTGGATTCTAACAAGACTGAAGATTTTTTTTGATATGATAAAATTGTTGGTAATTCTGATGAAATTTTTTTATTATTATTACTAGTAGTAATATCATTTGGTAATCCAAATAATGAATTCCCAACAACACCTCCATTTGTTCCCTTTAATGCTTCTTGTTCTTTGAAAACTCTTTGTTCAGTATCAATTTGTTCTTGAGTAATCTTAGTTGGTGGGAATTTAACACTTTCTAATCTTAGTGCAGTTACACTATGTGGATTTGATGAACCATTTAAATATAAACGACAACCACCAATTGTAATAGCAACTAAGAATAAATCTTCATTTTCATTACGTGAAACAACTTGTAAACTAACAATCTTTAAATATTTTTCTCCTAATAATGGAGAATTTTTAGCATTTGAAGTTCTTGCAAAAGTTGAAATATGTGATCTTCTAACAACAATTGGTTCATCTAAGGTACCATTACCAGTGATTTTATAACATCTAATAACAGATTGGTTTGATAATGTATATAATATACTTCTTGAATTATCAACAAGGATTTGTTTGACCAATTCATTGTTTTTTTCATCTTCTGTAAAATAATTTGCAATTGAATTTATAATTGAAGAACCTGGAACAAAACTTGAAACTGTTGATCTTGTTGAACAACGTTTATTACATTTCTTGTTTAACCAATCTTCAGAATTTGAATATTGTAATTCCCAAATATGTAATCCATCACCTGCACCTGTAAAGAAAATTTGACCAGTTTTTTCAAATGAAATGAATTGATCAACACTTAAACCTTGAGTTGAAATAATCATACCAGTATTGAATAATTCTAAATCATTTGTTGATGATGAATGACCAACACCCAAAATATGAATTTCTTGAGGAGTTGATATTAATAAAAGATAATTGATTGAATCTGTGAAAGTTTTCGGTTTTGGTTTAACTAATGCAATTTTCAATATAGTATGTTCAATATCTTCAAATGTTTGAAATTCCATAGTTTTTTTCAAATTCCATAAGATTAGTTTATTATCAATTGTGACCCATGCTCTTGAAATTTCTGGGAAAATACCCATATTACTAACAGTTTCAACTTTATTATATTCTTTTAAAATTTCATCAGGTATATCAATAATTTCAGTTCTTTCAAAAGGTGTGAATGCACCAAGACCATTTGGTTCATTGGAATAGTTGTAATTGACAGCATTACTGTGATATTGTGTATCATCTAATATTGGTGTGATTTTATCACGTAAAATTGAAGCATCAACATATTTACTTGCTAATTTTGATGGTTCATTAATATCAACATCAGTCACTTTCAGATAATCATTATACGTCACTGGAACTTTATTAGCTGATGCAACCGGTGCTATAGCTGTAGCATTGACACCTGTTCCAGATTCAAAGACTTTACTTCTATAAGGCGTGGTGAAAGTGGACATCTTTTGATTTCCAAATGTTAGTATTTGAATTTTTCCAACAAAAGATCTAGATTGATTGATCTACTATTGATATGTGATCTAAGTACCAATCTCAATTGACAATTGTAACTCACTTTTTTACCAAAGGAGTAGCCACTCTCAGTATGCTTTTAGAATCAAGAAGTTTGTACAATGGAAACCAATAGATCACAACAAGATCTGATATTTGTTTACCTTTTGTTTATACCCTAATATTTGATTTTTTTTTGCCTACCATGAAATAATTCGCGGAAAGTAAAATTCATGATGACATAATCATACCCGCGAATTAACCCAAAAAAAGTTACCCGCTGAAATCAGCACATACACACTGGATTTTGACAGAACAATAGCACCAAAATAGACACAAAAGCAGGAAATTTGATCTTGATATGAAGATTTATTCGGATGATTATAGGAGAGATTGGAATTATTGGTTGTTGAAATGATGGCGCTTAATTCAAAGGGATTGTGGTCACCATGGATCTCACAAGGAAGCACTTGAAAGAGCTACAACGTCAGTTAAATGAACAGAATGAGGGCGCTTTATCTACTTTATCAGATTCAAGGATAAATTTGTTCTTGTTAAGCCAGCAAAATGAACCACTAGAAGATCCACCAGAAGGTTTATTGTTGGATGATTCTGCTGATGAAAAAGATGATGCTGTGAACTCATCAATGGAGAATTTTGAAGATGGTGATGATGATGATATTGCTGGTAATGATAATTATGGGGTTGAAAATACATCAAGATCCCTTTTGACAATCAATGATACACAGTTAAATGAAGCTCCTGTTAAGTTTCAAGATGAGAATGGGTTATCAAAGATATTTGATCCAAATAACACATCATTGTTATACGTTGAGAAAAAAGAATTACAAGAAAGTTCAACAGATGTTAAATCTACTGCTCGTGAGGCATTAAAGTCAATCGATACAAATACTTCAAGTTCACCAATAAAATCTTTAAAACAAGGAATATCAAAGCTCCCAGTATCACAAGCTGCTGCTAAAACTGGAAGAGTTCTTAGAAGTCGTATGTTAAATGCCCCTGGACTACCGTATAATATGGGTTCCAAAGCCAAACAATTGAAGCAAAAACAAGGACGTACTAAATCAACCAAAACACTCAACTCTAAATCACCTTCAGATTTAAATTTCCCTAAAATGGATAGTTTGATATCATTAAAGTCAAAAGAAAGGTTTCCATGATATAGTAATATGCAGATAATAGCATGTCGGTATTAGATGATGGTTTGAAAGTTTACATAAAACTGTTAAGAAAACAATAAACAATTTGTATTTTTATATAACGATAGATAAACAATGAGAGTGAACTCAGATCTTATGATATTTAGGGACCAACATCAGCATAAATATAAAAAAAAACAGACGACCTAATATATGATTTTTTTTTATTAACAATGACCAGTAATGCTAACAATGCATAGAAACCGACTTAGCAATACAATTTCAACAGATAAAACACATCCAACGCTTTTTTTTTTTTATTTGGAAAACTCTTTGATCTCGTAATGACATAAATGATAATTAATATGTAAACAAAAAAAAAATAACAACACAAAACACACACACACATGTAGCGTATATAACGCACACACCAAAAATAAATATAAAATCAGTAAAAATTAATATTATATCCTAACTTCTTCAACTCAGAAGTTCTCTTTGACCAAAATAACGCACACTTGTATAGTAATTAATATAAAAAAAATAACACAACCAACCTGGTAATAAAACACGATTAAAATGATATGATAAAAAAAAAACTAAAACAAATAACAGTCTTGAAAAATTGAAACACCTTTTCCTGACTTTTCTCTTTCATTCCTCATTTCTAAATTTTCCAATAATGACAAATATAATATATGAATGTAAATAAAAAAAACACTTGAAAGAACATATAAACCGAAGTTAATGAATCCATATTTCATATAAAAAAAAAACATGGATAAAAATGACGTAAAATGCTTCTTATCTTTTTTTTTTCTTTTTCTCTTCTTCAAAAATGCAACACTCAATAAACGTCGTGAAGAAATAAACTCAAAACAAAATGAAATATAAAAAAAAATTATAATATAGTAAAAAAAAAAAGCAAATAGAAAAATAAAAAACACACATGATTAAAGGATATTATCCTTTGACTTTTAATTAAAACTTTTTTTAACCCCAAACAGACATATCATTACCCCAGATATTTAACCAACCAAAATTTTTATCTGAACGATTATTATTGTTATTATTAAACCCATTGTTATTATTGTCATTAAAAGTTAAATTGTTATTAGTAGGATTAACCTTATTTTGAAATTCATTAGGTAAATTAACATTGACATTAGTATTAGCATTTGTAGCATTAAATAAATCCTTATTCAATAAATCATCATTATAGTTTGAACCATATGAACTTGTTGAACCACCATTTGAACTAACAGATGATGATAATGTAGTTGAATTAGCATTAAAAGGATCAAATCTTGAATTTGAAACAAGTTCTTCAACAAAATTATCTGGTGAAGCTGCAACAACACTTGGGTAACCATTTGATGAGGAGGAAGATGTTGGAGTTAATTGATGAGCTTTAGGTTGTTGTTGGAAACCTTGTTGATAAAATTGAGGTTGTGGATGTTGTAACAAAGCTTTATTACCCAAAATTTGAGCTTGTTGTTGAACTTGTTGTTGAAATTGAACTTGATTTGGAACTGTAGATGCATAAGCAGGAACAACTTGAGCACCTTGAAATCCCTTTTGTTGTTGAGCAACCATTGGTGTAGGAGCTGGTGTTGGAACTTGAACATTAGCCAACCCATGTGTTTGACCACCAATACGACTATTAACATTGTTTACACCAGAAACAGTGTTAATACCATTACCATTAACATGTAAATTACCAACAACGGCGTTACCACCAGTAGCAACTTGTGGATGTTGATATTTTTGATTATGTTGATGATGACCATGATGATTGTTGGTTCTCATTTGATTCTTTTGATGATGAATATGATGATGATTGTTTAAATGACCACCACCATTGACAACACCACCGTTATAAAATTTGTTGTTGTTATTGTTTTGATGATGTTGAGTTTGTTTTCTATAGCGATAATCAAAAAGAGCCTTGTTGATGTCTGCGATATGTTAGTATTCATTCTTTGAGGATTCAACTATTTCCAAGGATCAAGTGATATCAAATAAAGTTTATTGACAACTCTTCGACAACTTTCTCCATACTATACTCACCATCAAATTGAGATCCAAACGGTGTGATAATCATCTCGCGCTTGTGAAGGCCCTTGTTTGTAGATGTAAATGCAGAAGAAGCCATGCTGAGTATTGAACAGAGGTTCCCAAATGTCCAGTATACTTTCAAATAAAGAATGTGGGTTCGTTAACGGGGGTTGTTTGTTAAACTGATGAAATTCTGATCTTTGGTTGTAGAAATTAAAGAAGCGATTTTCTCGCTCCCTAGAAAAAGAAGTAATGGAAAAAGAATCTCAAGGAGCACATTTTCCGGTTAGCGCAGTTGGGATTACATAACAATTACGTAGTGCTCGTTGATTAGCTAATGTACAGGCGCGTGTATTACTAAGAAACATATTTAAAAGTAATTGATAAAACTTCAACGTCTCTTTTTTTGTTTGACTTCATCGTCTTTTGTAGGATGGAGTCTGATTAGGTTAGGAAGTTGTGGAGTGTTGAATGTGTGACCTTTGGACCAATCGTACGACACAGCAATCGCATAAATTGAACCATTTCTATTGAAGTTAGCAGCAGAAATTGTACCTCCTAAAGATGGGAACCCTTTAAGTCTATGTTTAGCATCTTTATCCCAGAAGTGGAAACAGCCATCTGAACCAGCCGTGGCGAAAGTACCATATACTGGATGTGCTGCAATGGAGTTTAATGAAAATATATGACTTTCTGTTCTACCAGCTTTAGTTTCATTTTGACGATGACATTTGAATGTAAAACCTGCTTTAGCTTGTTCTTGCTCATCGATGTATTGGAATGCACATCTACCTTCAATTGAACCCAGAGCGTAACCATTACCTTGTGGGTAACATGAAATTGATCTTGTTTGCCATTTCAATGGTGACATTGCTTGTTTGGATATTTGTTGTGGATTATTCAAATCGATAATACAAACATGTCTTTCAGCTGTACCAACAACCAATAGTTTTTGTGCAGCATCCATAGCATAGACTCTTTCAGGTAATTGTATAGTACTGACTGGTTGTGGTTGTCTTAAATCCCAGTATCTTAAAGTTTTATCCCAAGATCCACTAACAACAACTTGTGTATTAGTTGGACCACATTCAACAAAACGAACAGCTTTGACAGCAGCGTCATGTTGACCAATTTGCTGTTGTTGTCCACTTTGAATATCATATAATTTAACTTGTTTATCAGCACCACCTGATATCACTTTAGTACCATCTAAAGTCCATCTTGTAGTTAATACTGGAGCATCATGTTCATATAAAGCACGTCCTTCTGTTTGACCTGTTGGTAAGACTTCATAAATTCTAACTTTTTTATCCCATGAAGAAACAGATAATAAGTCAGCTTGTGGTGAAAATGCAAGATCTGATATAGAATCTTCAGGTGGATTCTGTACTATAATATCATTTTGTAAATCAGCTTCAGTAGCTTGTGAATTTGAGACAGGTGCACTAGCGGCTGGTTTGTTGAAAAAAGACATCTTCTATCAACTTGCGTCTTATCAAAATCCCCTGTAATTGATTCAATTGAAGAAAAGTTGTCAGATTTATGTCACAATTTTTGAATTGTTTATTTTTTTTTGAATGCCATTTCTAAATCAAAAAACTCGAATAGGTACTACAAAAATTGAAATTTCGCGCAAGGAAAATCAACACCGGGTAGAGTTCGCGGGTAAATAAGTATACCTGTACCATCTGTTATACAATCTCTAATGAAGTTCATTTGATATTCAAACTAGAAGCCTAAAGGTCATATATCCTTTTATTTGTCACTCACTTAATAATGTCTACTTGGGACTTAAATCCAGATCGTTGGGATGGGATACCCATCATAGAATTTCAAGAGGAAACTGCATTTACAACTAATACTTCACCAATACGACAAAAACATTACAAAGATCTTTCATCAATCGATTGGCCTCATGAATATTCAAGAGAAAGACAATCCAAGAAACAAAATGATATACAACTTGAATCATCACATTCTAAATGGCATGCTTTCATAAGGAATAGTTCCAAATGGATTGTATTGATTGGAACAGGTGTACTTATCGGAATATTGACTGCAAGTTTAGATTATTTATACAAATGGCTTACTGATTTGAAAGGTGGTGTTTGTAAGCAAGGTGTCTATATGACGTATTCAAATTGTTGTAAAGGTATTAATGAAGGTGATGTATGTGAGAATTGGTTACAATGGGATCAAGTCATTCATATAAATAAAAATGCTGCTGGTAGTTTCATTTATAAGTATTTCTTATACTTGATCACCTCATTAATTTTAGCCGTCTCTACAGCATTTATTGTTAAAGATACTGCTTTTATTAAAACCTCGGGTATTTCAGAAGCTAAAACTATTATAAGTGGGCTAGTCATAAAAGATTATTTGACATTAAAGACAATGTTGGTGAAATTTATTGGGTTGACATTAATTGTTAGCTCTGGTATGTGGGCCGGTAAGGAAGGTCCACTGGTTCATGTATCTTGTTGCTGTGCAGACTTTATTATCAAAAGGCTCCCTTCATTGAATAATAATGAAGCTATAAGGAGAGAATTACTACTAGCTGCAACAGCTGCTGGGATTTCAGTTGCGTTTAATGCACCAATTGGTGGTGTCTTATTCACTTTGGAACAAGTTACTTCTTATTTCAATGCGAGTGACAAAATGTGGAGCTCGTTCGTCTGTTGTATGGCTGGTGTCGTGGTACTGAACTCATTCAAAGAAAATACAGATGTTCTTGTAACTATGGAAAACCAGTGGTTAAGTATTGAAATGCTGGGATTTATCTTATTAGGTATATTGGGTGGTGTTTATGGTGCTGTTTTCAATAGATTAAATATGTGGTTTGCTCAATTAAGAGAAAGACTTGTGAAGACGCAAGGAGAACATTTCCAAGTTTTAGAAATTATTGGATTATCAATTGTTACTTCTGTTATAACTTATCCATTAATTTTTCCAAGATTACCATTGACCACCTTAATCACTAGACTTTATAAAGATTGTGCAGCTGAAGAATCAAATATCATTGGTGGTCTCTGTGATGATAGCAAATTTCAAGGATCTTCATTACTATTCTTAACTGGTATTGTTGCAGTACTATTAACATCTTATACTTTTGGTACTTCTGTCCCTGCTGGTGTGTTGATGCCTTCACTAACAATTGGTGCTATTGTTGGTAGATTACTGGGGATTGTTTTTGAAAGCTTACAAAATTCTAATGGTACATTATCTAGATTGTGTGAAGAAAATAGTACATTGTGTATATCACCTGGTGCATATGCTGTTGTTGGATCTGCTGCGTTCTTAACAGGTGTTACAAAGATGACAGTCTGGGTGGTGGTAACAGTTTTTGAGCTAACAGGTGCCTTGACTTATGTTTTACCAATTATGATTACCGTTTTAGTAGCAAGATGGACAAGTGATAAATTTGATGAAAAAGGTTGTTATGATTTATGGATTCAGTTTTTTGGTTATCCATACTTAAATGAAATTTTAAAACCTTTACCTTTGATAAAGAGTGAAGTTTTTATGACGCCAATGGAGAAAATGAATGTATTATATGTTGAAGATAGAACTACAGTGGAAGATTTGAAATATTTAGTTGAACGTGATTTCCAAGGTATTCCGGTTCTATTTAAAAGGGACGACCCTAAACTTTTGGGATGGATATCTTTAAGTGATTTGAAATACGAGCTTGATAAGAATTACAACTTATCAAATTCAACAAATGTTACTTTGGTGGAGAATGAATCTCAAGAATTAGGTCCTGGACTTAGCTTCCCAGAATATAACTTAATTGAAAAAAACTATGTTAATTTGAGTCCCAATTTACCATTACCAACACTGGTGGAATACTTTTTCAAGCTAAAACCAAGATTTGTTTTGTTCAGTAGTGGTGGCAATTTCAAAGGAACAATAACTCTTAAAGATATCTCAAGAATTGTGGAATTGAGTACAAATGAATTACTCAAAATCTCTGAGCAACTAACAGGACACGATGATGTGGAAGATCTTGAAGATGAGGTTGATTCTAATGAGGTTTTGTTTAGAAATGAGATGACAAATAATGCATAAGGGGGATCGACATGAATAGAGTTTTGAATGTTAAGTACTATATGTCTAAGATCTTTAATAGATATAGAAAGATTATGAAAGACAACATTTTAATTAGTGTTGGTTATCCATTAAATAATGTTATTTTATTGTACTCGTAGTTTACCACGCAAACGATTACAAGTTGTGGTTTCTAGTTGTCGATACTAGGCGGCCTGGTGTATACTATATACTATATACGTGTAGTACTCTATTGTCTATGTAACTCGGAGGTAACAGGTGCATTTTCAAGGTGGATTCGCGGTTTGTTAAAAATTGGATCACAAAACAAAAATTTAACCGAGTCACTTTAAAAGAAGAAATTTTAACTTGAACATGGCTTGATCTTGTATGAATTTTTGTTAAAGCATTCTATGTGTCTCTATATGATCAATTTAGACCCACTATGGTGATGTGAGCTTAATGGTACCAGAGTACTGCTTTATGAAGTGTTATCTAGGTCTAGGGAAGCGTGCTTCAGAGATCGACGAATTATGAAGGTTTAGACCACACATCTGACAGCTAATCCATCAAATTTCTTAGACACGAGCTGTGATTAGGTCCATGCCTTTAAAGAGCATATTTTAGTGCTCTTTAAAAGACACACGAAATCTAGACTGATCTATACTCAAGTGAACCAATGGGAAGTATGAATTGTATATATATCGTTCGCTTAGAAGATATCTTGAAGCCAGTTTGAATTGTTCTTGTAGGGCCGCCGTGTATGATGGGCATCGTGCGGTCGGGTTGATCGCAGCTTCTTTATTATCTGTACCTTGCATGCATTCAATTAGAAAAAATGTAGTAAAATTGTTGAGCAAGACATCAGGAGAATCAAGATGCCCATTGCCCATATGGAATAGTATTGAGATGAGAGTTGAATCTACTATAGTGACGAACTTTTGATGTAATTATGATATTGTATATATGGAATACTCTGATATCCTCAGCTAGCTGATAACTTACGCAAGGATGATCTGATCACCCAGTATATATATATACGCGCAGCTCAATTGACAAGAATAACAGCTGACATTTGCCAATTAATATAAATACTCATTGCTCACTTCAATTCTAATTGATTGTGAAAATCTGTCAAATCATATTATATCAGCATTCAGCTCAGCTCAAGATGAAACCAATCTCTTTCAATGCAATTTGAATAAATAGTTTTGACGACGCGTGGGAAGCCAGTTCTTTTCACTACTTGTAGGAGTGAAAAATATCAGCTTCGGATATGAAAGACCACCAAGTAGCAAAATACAGATGGTCTATCATCTAATCCGCGTACTAGAGTTAATTATAAATCAACACTACGAACTATATTGATGTGCCGAAAACGGATCATTTATGTTGACTTGTGAAAATACTATACAGTCTTCACATCCAAAACTAGCGAAATCCGAGATTCGAGGAGGAAAAACCGACCCGGTAAAGATTACCCTCACGTCGGAATCTACCCTGTCAGGAAGCGGTTAGTGAGCGCGTTCCCGATTTCTTCACCTTGTTTTCATTTCCCACCGGTGGATTCTCAAGTTTGACAGTTGAAAAGAAAATAAAAATTGATAGCCTGCCTAGTAATAATAGGCCCTATCAATTACCATTCACAGTTTTTAAAAACTGAAAACAAAAGATCAAAGTGCAAAACACCCGTCTAGTCTCACAACCTACAAGAGATTTTAAAGACGGCTAAGTGCAATTTTTAATTTGAATCCGCTCATTAGATTCAGATTTGTTTCCAGTTCAGTTTATTTCCTTGAATTTTTGACCCCCCTCGCAAATTAAGCCAAAAAGTTCGTGAAGGTTTGGCTAAGAGTTGGTTTTCAATTAGAAATTTGAGAACGCAAACCAAAAATCAAAAGGAGATTTAAGACTTGAATATTCAAAACAATAAACCAACGTTTGGTTCACATTCTTGCTAGATTATCATCATTTAATTCATCATAATACATCCACACTTTGCTCATAAGTCTCAATTCAAAAGCGCTCAAAAACATTGGTCCTCTTTATAGCCGCCCTTTGTTAATTATCTGAAAGCGTGATAGAAATCAACAACTTCAACAACCGCTGTCATGAGTGGTGTACAAAAACAGAATCAACAGTCCAAAAATGATGCTGCTGCTAAAAAGTTTGTGAATGATCTGATTTCCTCCAATTCAAAGCAATTATTGAATGCTTATGTCTATGATTTTTTAATAAAATCCTCACTTCCACAAACCGCACAAACTTTTATTAAAGAAGCTGATGTTCCAACTGATAACAACCAAAATAAAGTGGTCAAAACACCTCCTCAGAAAGATTTATTACCATTGGCAATATCTATGGATGCTCCACAAGGTTTTCTTTATGAATGGTGGCAAATCTTTTGGGATGTTTTCAATGCAAGAACACATAGAGGTGGATCTGAAAATGCTCAACATTATTATCAATTACAACTAGTTCGTCAAAGAAAAGAACATGCATTACATAGCTCAACATTCCATGCTGCTCATGCTCAAGCTCAAGGTTTCTCTGGGATGCAAACACTTCATAATCCTCCAAATCCTCAACAGCAACAACAATTGTTAATACAACAACAGCATCAACAACAGTTATTGGCTCAGCATAGAAATCAAACACAAGGCCAAATACCAGGTCAACTTCCTCAACACCCTGGAGGTGCTACAAATGTCCAAGCTGGTCCATTTGGTGGTGCGTCAAATTTTGGAGCAGGTGCTGGTGCTGCAATTGGAGGTCAATTTGGTCAACATCAACAACATCAACAACAACAAAATGATGCAAATAATTTTATGTCTCCTCATAGTCAGCCCTTACAACCTTCACAGACTCAACAGGAAGTTCAGCAACACTTCCAACAACATCAAAACCAGCTGCTGGCAAATCAAAAAAGAGTGAATATTCCTACTGGTCCTGGTTCTATTCCTCCAAGTTATGCAAGACTTCAACAACAACAAGCTCAGGCTCAATTTCAAATGAATCAAATGAGACAACAACAGCAACAGCAATTTCCACAGTTTCAACAATTTAAAGCTCCTACAATCCCTGGACCACCTTATGGACCTCAACCTCCAACACCTGTTGTTTCTAATGGTGCTAATACACCAAATTCAACTAATAATACTAAACAAAGATCTGGCGGTGCAAGTCCAAACAAGAAACCAAAATTGGACAATTCAAGCAATCATCCTTCACCATTAACTGCAGGCTCTCCTGTTAATGCAAATGCTAATAAGAATGATAATACTTCACCAGGTTCATCTTCAAACTTGAAAAATTCTACTACAAATCAAGGCAATTCTTCAAATCCAAGTCCATTAATAAATCAACAAGAAAAAGATTCAAATTCATCATCAAGTACTATTGCATTACAAGATTATCAAATGCAACTGATGCTGTTGGAACGTGAAAATAAAAGAATGCTGGATGGTTCTAAGAAAGACAGTTTAAGTAATGGTAATGAAAAGAAAAAGAGTCCATTGAACTCAAAGATGCCACCACCAAAGAAAAATTTGAAAAATGGTACACCCTCATCATCACCTGCTGTTGGAAACAATAAATCAATTGAAAATGGTACCAAAACTACTGCCAATGGCCGAAAGAAGAAGGAACCAGCTAAAAGAAAAAGTAAGAAGAATGCTGCATTAAATAATAACAACAATACATCTGAACCACCAACTCCAACTACTCCATTGACACCAAATGCAGTCGGAAACAGCAACAACAATAACAATAATACTGCAGCCGTTAAGAAGGAATCTAATTTAAAAGAAGAAAAGGCTTCATCACAACTGACTCCACCTAACTCTGAAAATGCAACAAACACAAATACAGATGAACAACAAGCTCAATCTCAACAACCTCAAGATGAAAGTCAACCTCAAGAACCAACCTTGTCACAATCAGATGATAAAGATATCACTAAACCTAGCGATGAAATGCTGGGTGGTTCTCAAATGCTTTCAGGTCATAATTCACATGCTATTTCAAATGATCTGTACAATGATTTCCCATTATCAGACTTTTCAAATGATCTGGCTGGTGACGATAATTTCAACTTGGAAAATTTTTTGAATACTGATGGTGGCGAGTTGAGTAACTTCGATAGCTATTGGAAAGACAGTGTTGAAGCAACTGATTGATTGAAACCGTTATTGTGCTGTTTCATTTTTTATGGTCTACTTTTTGTCAATTTCGTTGTCTATTCATAAATTATAAAGGGTTTCACATATTAAAGGTGGTTCTAGTTTCATTTACCAAGTTGCCATTTGTTTGGTTTGTGTTTTTTGTGCTTATGTTCTCTATTGTTCTTATTTGTTCTGTTTGTTCTGTTTGTTCTGTTTCTTCTATTTCTTCATGTTTTTTTTTTCATCTTTCGGTATTATTAATCGTTTAATTTCTTCACTTCAATTGTTGTCACTTTTATTTATTCCTAAATTTACAAAAAAGATGGTTCTCAACAGAAACCCTCATTAGACATATAGATCGTATTTGGGAAAGTGATTATATTATTTTTCAAATTGGTCATTATCTTATATATTAAATATTATTGTTATATACCATTATTTCATAGTTCAATCGAATATATTGATGAACAATCTCATATTTTCTAGTTATAAACGTACTTTTGTAGTTTGGGTTTATTCATTTTACTTTCTTGCTATTTTCAACTTTTATTTCTAAACGATTATTGAAAAAGTAACCACCTATGACAGCAACATTTATAGCCAACAACACTGCAGAACTATGTTCTGTAGATGGAAAAACATTCCAACACCATTCATGTGCAACGAATAAAATAACTGAGACAATCCAATTAATATTACCCAAATATAACATATATGGGAAAGTCCAAGCATACCATGATAAAAATTGATAGTGTAAACTTCTTGAACAAATTATACCAATCAAATTTGAACTTGCCATTACTCCCATAACATACATTGGTGCTTTTGATGGGTCATTTATCACATGTTTTGGTGATACTGTTTGTTTATGAACCTTGAATAGATCTAACAAAAGCTGAATGTTACTTTTACCTGTAATGGAGGGTTTAGCCCATTTTCTAAATAAGAAAGTCAACAATAATGCAATATGAAGAAATAATAAGATATGATGGAATTTTGTAGAGTTGAAAATATCAGCAGATAAGAACCTCCAATTGACGGTCCATTTGTAAAGAAATCTTCTTTTGAAATCGAAAGCGTTGGCCAAATAACTGTCTCTGATTTCAGCTCCACTAAACAAAAATTGCCAGCTGATAACAGCTTGAGTCAACACAACAACAACCAAAGGAACCAGAGCTCTTAAAATGACTTCGTTGTTTAAGAAGTAAACAGCAATACCAAATCCAGGTAAGTACAATAATGCATTCATTTTAATAGAAATTGCAATCCCGAATAAAATACCAGCAATTTGATTACTCAATAATTTAGACAATCTTGGTCTAGATGTTTTCCAAACACTAGCCTGTTGTAAAGTCAAAACTGTGACAACCATGAAAAATGTAGTAAAGCAATCATTAAATAACCTCAAAACGTAAATGGAATGTAATCTTTTAGATAATGTTAACAAATGAACAGTCCATGGTGGGACATTCAATCTAAGGTAAACCAAAAACACAAGGGCTAAAGTTATGACATATAACCAGCCAAAAAATGTTTGACCAACTTCGATGTTTTTAGTTCCATATGTTAACCAAGATAAGAATCTATAAATCCAAACATGACCAGCTGGATATACTAATGGACCTGTACCACCAAAAATGTTTGCATAGTTTAACTCACCACTATTAATTATAGTGACTTGTTCCATGTACGCCGTATAATCAATTTCAGTGTACGATATAAACCCCTTGATAAGCTTTACTGCAATGGACTCAACCACCAATAGAATTGGGATCACTATCTTGGTGAATTCTGGGTTAAATATGAGTTGTTTGAATCCATAAAGTATATCAGCTATGACATTACTGAAAGTTAATTCTGGTAATTCTCTGGTTGGTGAAGATGGTTCATGATCAGGGACTAGTTCATCTGGATGACTATCACTCTTTTTGGCACTCTCATCAGCTACCATGATCTTGTTGACTCAATTGAAAGTCCCGTTTAGGATAGTACTCGATGGAGATCTGATATTATCTATCTGTCAACATGAGCCAAAATTTTCGGATCTAGTTTGGTATTAATTCGCGGAAATTTAAACTACACCAAAAGTTTTAACGTATATGACAATTTTATTCAAGCAAAATTATAAAACAAAATATGTGTATCAGTATATCGACAAAAAGGAGGTATCAACTATATCTTGTATGACTTCTATGTATTACTATTATGACAATGTTTGGGGGATCGGGTGAGTTGTATGCAGAAATGGTAATTCTTAAACTTAAGCAACAACTTGTTTCAAGAATGCATTTTGAGAAACAACACCAGAGTATTTAGAATCCAAGTATTTTAATAAATCGACAATTTTAGCTTTTAATTCTGGAGTTTCAAATTGTTTGAATCTATCAATATTTTCTTCTCTACCTAAAGTGGATTCTCTTTCTAATTTTTCTCTTTCAGCTTCTTTTAAGAAAACATCAGCAAAGACTTCAACAACTTTTGGAGTGAATTGGACAATTTCTTCATTTGAATCTTGGTATAATTTAGCAATTAATTCAAAGATTGGAGTGTTTTCTTCGAAGGCAGATTGTAATGGTAAATGTTCAAATAAGATTGGTAAAACAACGTTCAATGGAGTAGAATCTTGTTGTTTTAAAGCTAATCTAGCAACACAACCACAAGCATTAGCATATGATCTGTGAATAACATCCTTGGATTCTTCATCGTCTTCTTCAACGTTAGCTTCTTGTTTTTGGACTTTTGATAATAAAGTTGATAATAAGTTGAAGATATCTGGGTATGTACTTGAGTAGTTGTTGTTGGAATGGTAGATTAAAACACCGATACCGTAAGCAGCATTACCTCTAACTTCAACAGATTTATCATTTTGTAAACGTTGAGTAAACATTTGTAAGAATTCATCAGTGTATGGGTTTGATGATTTTAAACCAGAACCAATTTCAGCTAATGCACCAATAGCTGAGACTTTTTTGTTTTTACTCTTTGAGGTAACATTTGAAGCAATGATATCTTTGAATGAGCTGAAGATTTTGTTGAAATCTGGACCTAAAGCTAATGAAAGGTTGACAAGGACTTCTAAAGCACTTTCAAATAACATAGCATCGGTTTCTGAAGCATCAGCTTCTTCATCTTCTGGGATTTCATCATCATCTAAAGTTTGTGATAAATGTTCACCTTTCAAAATTTGCATTAATTCAGCACATAAATCTTCCAAGTTTTGACTGTCACCGTTATCAATAACAATGATAGCACCGTATCTCTTCAATAATTCAGCGAATGAATCCAAGATAGCAGCAACCATGGATAATTCGTATTCTTCACCTAAAGCACGGATAGATAATTCTCTAGCATGTTTGATCAAGTTTAAGATGTTAGCATCAACATAAGAAGAAGCTGGAGCACCAATTGGGTAGTTTTTGTTAACAACAGTGATTGAAACCATAGCTTCAACAACTTTCCATAAACAAGCTAAAGCAGTTTCTCTCATACCATATGATTCTTCGGCTTGTTTAGATAATGTTTCAACAGCTTGTTCAACGTATTCAGCAAATAAATCTTTAGTACCTAAGGCTAATTCTGATAAAGCAATGGCAGCAATTTCCTTCTCAATGGTGATACCAGTGTGAACTTGGAATTTGTTAGTTAAATCTTCTTCTTCATCAAAGCCGTCTTCAAGATCATCTTCGTTAACATTGATGTTAAATTCTTCTTGTTCTAAACATTTGAAAATGATTGGCATAACTTTTGGTAAGAATGGAGCAAAATCTTTTTTGTAAACCTTAGCCATGTTTGAGACGAAAGCATAACCAGATTCTCTTAATCTTGAGTTTTCTGAGTTGATTGAAGTGTAAGCAGCATCAACTAATGGTTCAGCGTATTTACTGAATGATTCAGAACCAACAGCTCTGGCCATAGTGGAGATATTTTCAAAAGTTAAGGCTCTTAATTCAATATCATCTTCTTCTAAACCTTCAACTGAAGCAGAGTTTTGAATAAAGTGTTGTAAAATTTCAACTGATTTGTCAAAGTATGGTCTGAAAGCAGTACCAGCAGCATAAGCAGTTGAACCAATAGCAGAAACAATGATAGATCTTAAGCTTGATTTTTCAGTAACTTGTAACATGTGGAATAATTTGTTCATTAATGGTTCCAAATAGTTGACAATAGCATCATGTGACATAAATTCAATCAAAGTATCTAATGAAGTACAAGCATATTTGTAAACAACAGCATTTGTTGCACTGTCAATGATTTCAATGACTAAAGGTAATAATTGTTCGTGGAATTCAGCTAATAAATCTTGTAATTCAGAAGTTAATTGAGCTAAAGCACGTAAAGCACTAACTCTAACAAGTAATTCTGAATCTTTCAAACCACCGACAATAGCTTGAACAACTTTATCTAAATGACCACTGTAGTAATCTGGAGCACCAGTAGCAGTAGCACCGATAGCTAAGAAACCAGCTCTTCTTTCGAATTGGTTGGTAGAGCTCAAAAGAGAGTTTAATTGTTCAAAAATTGGGTTAACAACTTGTGATGGTGGTAATTCTGATGATGCGACAGTTAATAATCTTAAAGCTAATGAAGTTGGTTCATTTTCTTCATTTTCATTTTCATCTTCATCATTGGCTAATTCAGCTTCAACATCAACTTCTTCGGAAGCAATTTTCAAAGCAGCTAAAGTTAAATCACGACCTAATTTCTTTGATGAGATTTTAGTTTTTCTGAAAGTAATAGCTGAAGTTAAGAATTGGAAAGCGAAAACTCTAATTTCATCATCTAATTGATTGTTTAAGGCAATTTCAGTCATAATTTGGATCAAAATAATCAAGTTATCACCAGTTAATTTAGTATCTAATAAAATTAAATCGTTTAAAGAGTTGAAAACTTGTTTTGAAATAACTTCATCACCGCTTGCAATGACTTCTTTTAAAACATCAACCATTGATGGGATCAAATTTTTGAAAGCAGTAGCCATTCCATTATCAATATGTAAGCTTGATTCAATCAAGTTAGCAACGGAACCTAAAGCTAAAACAGAGTTTGATCTAACTTCATTACTGTTTTGGTCATGTAAAGTTTTAGCAAATAATTCTAAGAATGATTTAACATGTTGTTCTAATTCTGGTAAATTAGTTTCCAAAATTGATAATAAGACGAAAGTTGAAGTTTCTTTACCTGCAACATTTGAATCATCAACAGCAGCATTGACTAATAATGGTAATAATGATTCCCAAGTGTTGGTAGAAAATTCGTATTCAGCAATAGCAGCAACAACTCTAGCAGCAGAATGACGAATTAATTTTGATTGTTCTTTAAAAGTGGAAGTTAAGATTGATTCTTTAATTTCATTTTTAATACTTTGATCCACGGTTTCCCAATGTTTGTTAACCAATTTTCTAGATTCAACAGCTGCCAATTGTCTTATTTGATCATTTGGATTGTTTTGTAAAATATAGATGATAGCTGGTAATGAAGCTGGGTTTGGGTAGAATTCATTTGAAAGTTTTGCAGTAGCAGCTTTAATAGCAGCTGAATCAGGCAAAGTGACTTGGGTTAAAGTCTCTTGTAAACTAGCGACGAACTGTTGATCCATTTTTGTCTAATAATTATTTATGAAATATGAATGAAGCGGTTGAACCAGACCTCTGAAGAAAAGCTTTTCAAGTAGAAAGAGATGGAAAAAGTCTTTGAAGAGTCCGGAATGTTACAATATAAATGCATCTTTTTACTTACATTTCTTTATAGATATTTTTTTTTCTGCGCATTGCAGAAATTTTTTTGATCAGGGTCACCCACCTCGGATCTGCAGGATTTTGTGCGATGAGCTTTGGATCGTCAATTCCGGTCAAGTCTATATGTCACATAAAATTACGAGTAATAATCTCTTGATTTCAAAAAAAATCATTAAAGGGTACATTAATATAATTATATAATATGTGCAAAATGAAGGATATATCCCTGGGTGTTCAAAAAAGTTCAAATTGTATTGTTGTTTATTCAGCTTTTTGAGCTGTTGAAGTTAAATCATTTTCAATCTCATCAATTAATTCATCAATATTTTCAAATTTTAAATCACAAGAAATTGAAATCAATCTTCTATAATTATTCATCTTACTATTTATACTTTGTTTTGTTAATTCATTCAATATTTTTTCCACAACACCTCTTCTATTAAATTGTAATTTAGTTAAATGTAATGCTAAATCAAATTCATTAGAATTATTATTCATCAAACTTATAGATGATTCTTCCTTATGAACCAATTTAGCCAGACTTAAAGCTTGACTTCTCTCTATTAATTTATTTAAATGATTTGTCTTTTGTTCACAAACTTGTTCTAAATTTTCAATGTTGCTTAACAATTCATCTAATGAAGATCCATTATCTATTTGAGCTAAAACAACTTGATTCTTAGCTTCTGTACTTTTTATATCAGCTTCCAAATCCTGTAATATAGTTTTCGTATGTTCATTTTCTTCTTCTTTTGCCTTCAATTCATTATCATAAGCATCAGCTAATGAACTTAACATTGAAGTGAAAATTGGACCAACTTCTTGTAATGGTAAACTTGGAATTGGTGGGATTGGAGCATCTAAAGTTTCATCTTCATCTTTAATAAAACTTGAATCTTCTTTAATAAAACTCACGGTATCATTACCATTTTCTTGAATATCTTCAAGTGCTTCTTCCTGTGTTGGTGAAGTAACAGCACCATAACGAGTTAATAATTCAACTAATTCAGGATTATTTGAAAATTTTGCTAAATCTAAAGCAGAATTACCTTTAAAATCTTTATGATTAACCACAATTCTTAATAAATTTTCATTACCTTGAGATAATTTATTTAATATTATTTCTAAATAATATTTTGAAGTATCATATTTTGTCTTTATAGATTCACAAATATAATGCATTGGAGTTCTACCACTTTTATCTGGAGTATAAAGACAATTTTTCATAAGATCAACTAATTTATGGAAATTATTTTTTTGAAATGAATTATTGAAAAAAATTGCCCTTGAAATACAATTTAATCCAGTTGAATTTGGATTCAATGGATCTGAACCAAATTTTAATAATAATTCAATTAATGGAACATTTGCCATTGCACTTGCCCAATGTAATGGAGTATGACCTTCTTCATCAATTTGTTCATTAAAATCAAAATCATTTGGTGGATGATGTAAAACTTGTGGAACTTCATCAGTTTCATTACTGAAAAATTGAATTAAATTTTCTGTATATATAACTTTTGCATTTTTAATATCTGAATTTTGAGGTGAAGAATGACCTGATGATATTGAAGTATCAGAGTCTCTCATAACTTCATCCATTTGAGTTGATAAAGAACCATCATCTTGAGACCAATTTTCACCAGCTGATCCTGTGGGTCTATGTTGTTGATATTCTTGTGGTTGATAAAATTGAGGTTGTGAAATAATTTGATGTTGTTGAGATTGTTGTGGTTGTTGTTGAAATCTATATGCTTGTTGTTGTTGTTGCTGCTGTTGTTGTTGTTGTTGCTGTTGTTGTTGTTGTAATTGTTGAAAGCTTTGTTGATGATGAAGTTGTGGTGCTGGTTGAAATTGTCCAAATGTTGCTTGTTGAGGTACTTGTGGAAATTGTTGAGGTAAATAATTATTAGATTGATGAGATAAGTCACCATTTTGTAAATGTGGTAAGTTTTGTTTTGGTTGTTGCCAAAATATATCTTCTTGAGAAGGTGCTAAATTTTGAGCTTCATTGAAAGATCTTTGTTGTTGTAGTTCTAATCTAGCCTTTTCAGCAGCTGCTGCTTCAGCTTTCTTCTTCTTGGTGTTATAAGTTCTTTTAGGTTTCTTTAAGGGACTTTCAAGATCACTTCCATTAGTACTTGGTTGAGCAGATGCAGTTGGTGTTGGTTTAACTTTAGTTCTTCTTGGTAATGGAGTATTTGGATCTGGAACATAGGATAAAATTGGAGCCATATCATCAGTAATATTATATTTATGAGCTAAAGGACGCGCAACTTCTAATGGGATCCATGTACCTTGGAAACGACCATAACCACCTTGAATTTTTTCATGAGTACCTTTTTGAACTTCTCTTTCTAAGATTCTAGTTCTATGGGCTTTGGGGAATTTAGCAGCTTTCAAGATCTGTGTAGCGTTGACCCAATTATCTGAACATCGTCTCATAATGGGAATTTCATCAATATAACACTCGTAAACATCAAGCTATAATAGAATGTTAGTATCACTGAAAAAAGTTCCCAGAGAAAAGCTTGAAAGAATTTAACTCACATTAGAATATGTTGCAAGGAAAAGGTTTTCAGTGGTCATATTGCTTCACAATTTAGACCTTCTAGGTATTTAATTTTAACAAAATGTCTCTTGTTAACTATGAGACAGTAAAAAAAATTATTTCAAAGGGATAACCAAAGTGATAAAATAGCAAAAGATTGGGTAGTAAGAATGAGATGGAACAAGTCTGGGAATGAAGGGCAATATGGAGTAGCAAAGTAATAGCCAAAATAATGTGCTTTTGAAGGCTGTTTTTTGTGGTTTCCAATGGTTTTGAATCCGAATTGTTGGTTGTTTAAATCTTGTTTTGTCTAGCGAAATTCCTTACGCGTAAATGAAGTGCTTTTTCCTGAAAAATCGATCGACTTTATCGCTCTTTTGGGAAAACTAATTACACACCGCGTAGCACAGGGGTTTCTATTGGGGGAAAATAGGTGATTAATACATGTATGAGTACCTAATAATACCAGTATTACTCAATTGTATCAAGATTTCTTTTCAACGACTTTTTTACGCTTAAATTTGGTGTTTAAATGAACTTTTACTGAAAGAATGATTACGTGAACCCTCGGTTATTGGTTTAGTCATGTGATACTGTCTCGCGAATGTCCCCGGATTTCCCGTTTTCATTACTTTTAAAATTCGAATTGTTGATAATTCGAAAGTTGAAATCCAATATGAGTTAATTTAAAACACTGTGAATATTTGTTTACACTGGCATTGAGACTCTTTGAACGTACATTATGGTGAGTATCAGTGATGAGAATTGTGTGGTGATGGAATACAGCTTACTAACATGTGGAAAACAGCTACCTTTGTATTTGCTAACAGCTGCTAAGGGCCAACCAACTTTGGTGGAGCTTAAATCTGGTGAAACTATAAACGGTGTTTTAACTGAAATTGATAACCTTATGAATTTGACTTTAACCGATGTCATTGAAACTAGTCCTGTGAGTAAAAACTATTATTATAATGATTATGAGCTCTATACTAACAAAAAATAGAATGGTGAATCTTTTAAAAAAATACCTGAAATCTTTGTTAGAGGTAAAGATGTTAAATATTTAAGATTACCTGAAGAATTAATAGGAGAAATTAAACAACGTAATTTACAAAACCAAGAACAACGTTTCAATAGAAATAGAAACAATAATAATAATGATAGAAATAATCAAAATTATAATCAAAAAAGAAACAATAACAGAAATTATAATAATCAAGGAAATAGAAATAATCAAAATCAAAATCGTCGTAATAACAATGGTTATAACAATAATAATGGAGGTCCTCGTTATAACAATGATAGACGCCAAAACCAAAACCAAAACCAACAACAGCAACAACAAGTACCACAACAACAACAACAACAATAAGATAAAAAATGTTTGTAAAATATCCAGTATTTATGTGTAATGATGAGTTATAAAGTTAAAAGGTTTTTTTTTTCTTTTTTTTCAGATTAATGAATCCATTTTATGAAATATAAGTAAATCTAATGTATTAATCGTTTTTTTACCAAAGAAAAGGGCCACTTGTAAACATATAATATCGTAGTGTTTAAATACATCAGTATACCTAGCTATTCCAAGAAAAGCAAAGACTAGCTTATTTTATTTATAATATTATATAATAACGAATTGAAATTAAGAAAGATATAATTATATTTATATCAAATTATAATTTCCATGTAAATCTATATGAAACCAATATATTTATATTTGATTGTTCTTTTTTCAATGTTTTGTTTATATTAAAAAGAATGGAAAAATGCAAATGTGAATTAATAATTGAATATTATGGTTTTGAAATTTAATTTTTTTGATTTTGATTTTTAAAATATGTTTTTAGAAAGTTGTTTTAGTTTTATTTTAATCAGCTTTAATAGCACCATAAATTTTATAAATAAATGTTGAAGCTGCAAATAAACCTAAAGCACCAGTTGCAATACCAATTAAAATACTTAATATAGTAGTATAAGAGAAAAATAAAACAATTGAAGGGAAATCTGTAACTTTTAAATGACTGAAAAAATAATAAATTGAATAAATTTCAATATACCATGCAACACTTGTACCAATCCAAAAAGATCTCCATTGCCATCTCCAATCTCCATAAATTAATGATAAATAAATTGCCACAATAACACATTCAATAACAACAACACTTAATAATAAGATAGTAAATGATAAAAATCCATACATATAATAAAATGAAGTTTTTTCTAACCAAACTGATCTGAAAACAAATAATAATTCAACATAAATTGTACCAAATGGTATAACACCAAAAATTGGAATTGAATAAAAATATTTAAGAAATTTTGGTTGAGCTCCAACATTTTTAACTGGTAAATTTAAATTTGCATTGTTTTTTGGAGGAATGGATTTATTACCCAATATACCACCAATTATTGATAATGGAACTTCAAGTACCAAAAAAAATGTAATTAATAATACAACAGTACCAAATGGTAAAGCAACTGATGAATCTTTTGCCCAAACAATACAATTTAAGATTAAAACTGATAATAAAACAAGAAATGGTAATGTTCCGCCGAAAAGAATTGAATATTTAATTGAATTAATACCATTTTGTTCATTTTTAAACATTTTGAAAAATCTTATACCTGAATAACCTGCAGCAGTTCCACCAATGATGAAAAAACTTAAAGCTGCAGTAAGAACACTATTTCTAATATTTGGACCCAAAATCCCCAATACTGATACAATTAATACCCCAATTATTGTGAAAAACACTTGAACACCTGAAGATAAAATTATTGATAACAATAAAGGTTTTTTAGGTTCTCTAAATACATCATTTGAAATTAATTTCCAACCTGAATTATTAAAATTATCACTTTTATCACTTTCAATTGGAATATTATCAGTTGCTATATCAATATTACTATTATTATAAGTTTGAATATCACGATTTAAAGTTCTTAATAAAACAACACCAACAACTGCAGAAAGGAATGATACGAGGACAAGTGAATTGATTAATGAAATCCAATGGATATGATCATCATTAACTTCACCAGTGAAATATAAATTCCATCTTTCACTCCATGAAACTTTTGATTCTTCTCTCCAATAAACTGCATAAGTATATGGAATAACAACATTTTCATTTGAATCTGGATTTAACATAAAATGTTCATGATTCTTTGAGGCACCAGGACAATGGAAATCACTAACACTTCTTGGATAAACTTCAAATCCAACAATTGTCTTTTTTCCATCTTTTTCAGTATGAAATCTAATAACAAGCATAACATGATTATTTAAATATGTATTACCATCTCTAACAAAACCTAAAGGAAATCCTGCAGCATAATATTTTTTATTATCAGTTGAACTTATAAAAGTAGTAGCACCTGGTAAATCATCAATTTGCCATTCAACAACATATCCACTTCTTATTAATTCATCAGCTCTCTTGATAGCTTGAGGTCTTGTTATACGATCACATAATCTATGACATGCAGCATCTTCATTAAAATTCAGGATATAATCTGAACCCCAAATTCTATCACCTCTTATCACTTCATTTAAGGAAAGATGTAAAGGTCTAGCATCTTTTGTAGGGGGGCATATAAATGGAAGTTCATAATATGCATAGGGCAATTGAGTTGAATCTGATTCAACTCTATTAACTAATAAATTCACTTTTTCACCTTTTTCATAATAAGTTGGGGTCCATCCTTTTGTGATAGTTAGTATATGTACATTAATCTCATCTGATTAATCATCTTGGAATGAATGGGGGTGGTTCATTTTAATGTCTGTAGACACTTGTACCTCATCAACAATCAGGTACACGCGATGTCAGAAAAATCCCGATCCACACAAAACAAGTGAACCAGCACTCCAGATCCAAAGACACTTACCAAAGGGATCCCATGCCAATGTGCTCTGTACGATGCAACTGAGTAGTATCACCACTCTCCATTTCATTATGTTTGTGTTTTTGAATAACCAATTCACAGCTTATAGCACCAAAATTCTTGTACGCTTGGTTCAATGCCTTTTTAAAATTATTATTGACTTCCAAAGTTCAAATTTCGCTTCTTCAATGTATCGAAGTTCGCGCGCGTACTTGTTTCAGGCTGATTACGTAAATGAAAGCGTACTGCTTATGTCATCTGGGAGTCTAGCCAACTTAATTTTTTTGTTTTTGTTTTGATTTTTGATTGAATTTTGAAATGCTGGTTTGTTTTGGCGGTTTTTGAGCATTTGATTCGTTTGGAAGATTAACCGCTGAAGGAAACTTGGTACTGTTCTTTTTGCTGGTGAAGGAAGAGAAGAAAGCTGGTGTTTGCTGAGAGAAGTTTGTGTTTACTGGGTGTTTCGTGCTTTAAATTGTGTGCATTTCCCAGATCTTTGTGGCAAGTTTAATTAAAGCTCATCTCAGGTTAATTTAAATCTTAGGGAGATATTACTATCATTATACACATTGAATCATGAGTTTCAAAGAATATAGTGTCCAACAGCTACGGTCCATCGTGATTTATGGGTTGGATAATGATCTTTTATCATCTGCTGAATTTGCCGCGGAAAGATTAGTTGCAGAGACTACGAATTCTGATATGGATTCATTACATTTATATGGTCTAGTGCTATTGAAATTGAAAAGATATAAAGCTGCTTATAACTTGACAGCTAATGAATCTCATGCTGGATGTACATATGTATTTGCTAAAGCTGCTCTTGCCCTTGGAAAACCATTTGAAGGTATTAGTACATTATTTAAAAATCAAAATCTTTGGGAAAATATACCATGTTCGCTAAGTTCTTATTATGAATCAAATAGATCATCTTCTCTGATACCTGATACAGCTGTTTTTTATAATTTACTGGCAAAACTTTTCACTTTGGTGGATGATTATAAAGAAAGTGCAGTTTATCATTCAAAAGCTTTGAAAGAAAATCCATTTTTATGGGAATCTATAGAAGAATTAAATAAAATGGGTGCAAATTATAGAGTTAAATCAATCTATAAAATTGCATCTGGTGCTAAATTTTCTCTAGGTTCAACAAATGATACACTAAATAATTTTTCACATTCAAATAATGATCAATATAATCGAGATCCATTTGGTGATTCTTCTAATTTAAACCCACCTCCAAGAACTACATTAAAAGCTGAAGGTTTTGATTTTGGTAAAGCTATACGAGAGGAAAGCCCTGAATTTCAAACACCAAGAGTTAAACAATCAATACTGCCCAATGCTCCAACAAGGAAAACAAGATCATCAATAACAAGATCAGACGCTTTCAAACAACCACCATCTGTTTCAGTGGGGAGTGAAAGTATAAAAAGATCTTCAAGACTGGCTGCTTCAAAAGTTAGTTCAAGATTAACTGCTCATCCTCTGTCAAGTGCTACCAAAAATTCAACAAATATGCCACCATCTATAACGAGGAAAAATTCAGGATCAGAACATACTTTGAGGAAAAATAAGATTTTTTCATTATCTTCAAATTCATCTACAAGTGATAGTTCTAAAAAATCACTTTATCTGTCAAACGAAGAATATGGTGAACAGTATGTGATTGGTCTTTATTCATCATATGCAAAAGGTTTTAAAGCTATGAGTCGTTATGATTCTTTTAAAGCTATAAGGTTGTTATCATCATTACCTGAAAATCATAAAAATACACCATGGACTTTAAGTAAATTAGGTAGATTACATTTTGATATTGTTAATTATGAAGAAGCTTTAGTTTATTTTAAAAAATTAAGAGAATTGGATCCTACAAGAATAGAAGATATGGAATATTATTCAACTTTGTTATGGCATTTACAAGATTCAGTTGCACTTTGTAATTTAGCTCATGAATTACAAAGTATACATAAGAATACACCAGAAGCTTGGGTTGCTATTGGTAATTTATTTTCATTAAATAAAGATCCAGATGAAGCTATTAAATGTTTTCAAAGAGCTACTCAAATTGATTCCAAATTTGTTTATGCATATACTTTACAAGGTCATGAATATGTTTCAAATGATGCTTATGATAATGCTTTGGAATGTTTTAGAACCTCATTAGTCTTAGATCCAAGACATTTCAATGCTCTGTATGGTATTGGTATGGTTAATTTAAAATTAGGTAATTTCCATATAGCTGAATTCCATTTTAGAAAAGCATCTCAATTAAATCCAGTTAATCCAATTTTAATGTGTTGTTTAGGTATGATGTTGGAAAAATTGGGTAAACGAGATCAAGCATTAGAACAATATGAATTAGCTGCAAAATTACAACCATTAAGTGCCTTACCATTATTTAAAAAGGCACAATTACTATATTCTGAAAATAGATTTGGTGAAGCACTTGTTGATTTACAACGTTTAGAAGAAATAGCACCAGATGAAGCAAGTGTTCATTATTTATTAGGTCAACTTTATAAATATGGTGGAAGAAAATTAGATGCTATAGTACAATATACTGCAGCCTTGAATTTAGATCCAAAGGGTGCACCAATTGTTAAAATGGCTTTAGAATCTTTACAAGATACAAATCAAGAATAATGATAAAACGTACAAACACATAAACAATTTGAATGACATTAATTATAATAACGATATAAATTATATAACCTGTAATTTCTAATACATCAATTCAATGATTTAATTCAAAGCTTTTTGTAATACTTTGTGTGATATATCATTGTTTTTCATATGGTGGTGGTGGCTCTTCGGGTTCATCAACAGAATTCACATTCAGTTTATTTATCTTCATATCATCAAAATCAGTATCAGTATCTTCTTCTTCTTCAACACCATAATTGATCATTTTCAAATATTCAAAAGGTGGATCCCAAATAGTTACACATTT